GTCCTCATGTGGTCGGCTGGACTAGACACACATGAGAAGCCCTAGATAGGCTCTGATACCAAGTAGAAGATCAAGACTGTAATCAGTCTTGAATCCTAATAGGTTTTAGGTTTACAAAATAGAAGAAAAGTGAGAGAAAGAAGAGAGAATAGAAGAGAAACTGGAGAACACAGGGAGGAACAGATTCTTACTGATATGCCGCCGCCACTTTCTTATTATTTATAGGTTATGTTTAGTGCACAATGGAAAGGACACATCTGCCCTTAGTACTTACATAATAAATAAAGTAAATAAAAGCTGAAACAAATAACAACTTAATTAACAAACTGACACTACTATAACTGAAACAAATAACTACACATGCTGTCCTACGAACACAGTGGGGCCCACATCAGTGTTCTCTACACCCCCCTTAGCCGAAGGCTGACCTTTCCCCTTCCTGGCATACGTAAAGTTAATTGGGGGCCTATCAAAAAACTAGTTCACTTAAACACCAATCTAAGATGTGCAAGTGTGCAACACTTCTACATCTCTGAAAAAAGCCTTACCTATTCATTAATCCATTTAAGCATTATTGATCAGAAAAAAAAAAGAAAATTAATTCTCTATCCATGGACTTATTTGTTGCCTATTTTTGTATTATGCAGACTTCAGCAATACAAACTGGTTGAGATGAAGCTTCTTGCTCAGCAGAGGGATCTTCAGGTGCATTATCATCTCTTCTTGGTTTGGCTTATTGATATTCAAACTTGCCATATTTACATCCATGGAACAAAACTCATCTAAGCTGACTTGATTTTTTGCTTATTGGGTTGATATCCACATCTTAAATCAGCTTATGCACATGTTTATATAATTACATATATTACTTTGTTGTTGGGCTTTAAGTTAAATGATGAAATTGACTTTGAATTGAATGTTGGAGTAACTAAGAAAAGCTTCTTTTAAGTTTTCATCCTAATAAGCGTAATAGGCAAATACCTCAAGTTAGATGATCTCATTACATTTTCAAATCAAGCCAAACTTTGTATTTTGTTTTTTTATATTCTTTACTGTTTCTTGTGAGTTCCATGCATTTGATCCAGACCTGTTTCATGTGAGTACCAGGCAAAGATACCTGACATCGAGAAGTGCTTAGATATAGTTGCCACATTGCAAGCTAAGAAGGGCACTGGTGAGGTTCGTTTTTCATAATTGTTTTTTCTGCCCCTCTGCTGGATTATCTAACAATCTGATGCTTCTATCTAATATCTTATCCTATAAACCTATGTCTATCTCAGTTTTCTTTTTCATAACTATTCCCCCCTGCCAAGTCCAGTATATGTGTGACTACTAAAATCTCATCTTTTGAGGGTAAGATTTAGAACGAATGGTAAATTTTTTCATACTTGATAAATTTGATATACTCAGCTACAAGTTATTTTAGCCGTCCTTTACTCCTTTCTTGGAAAACTAATTTAATTATTTAATTTTGTTTGTATTTCTACAATTCTACATTTAATTTGTTCATTTTGTCAATTAGTGCATTATTGTATAAGGAAAATTATAAAAATTAAACTTAGAAAAAAGTATGCCCTCCAAATGCTTAGCAATGTTTCTCCAACTCGTCAAGTCCGTCTCCTACCCATGTCATCCACATCCATGTAACACTGTTGGAGGGGAAACTTTTAAAGGTTAGGAGACAAATACCTTCAGGTGCAAATATGAATGTGGACAATCTAACTGAAAATGCTAATGCATATTACACATTTGAGCTGCCAATCCCTTTGGCTTGATCCTAAAATGGCCATAATCCATAACCCATCAAAATTATGGATCAAGGCTCTGAACTATAAACTTTAAAGAAAAGAATATTTACTGGTGTCCATTATTAGGACTATTCTTTAATGAAATTGTTTTATATTTCTTATTATGTTGTTTACTGATGTCCACTATTAGGACTATGCTGCAAGTAACAAGATAGGCTTGCTGTTTCTTTTCGTCACTTAGTTGACCACTTCAGACTACATATTCTTTGGTCTTGATTTGCTCTTTTAGAGCCTTTTACTTGCACCAAGTCAATCCTAAACACTGGTCATATGCACTTGACCAAACCATCCCAGTCAAATTTTCCTCATCATATAATTAATTGGAGCTATTCTTAATCACAAATAAGTTACACAATACTTTAATGTTTTTTATTTTTATTTTTTTCCGCTACTAACTTTAATGTTTTATAGAAGTGTAGAACTTTACTACTAGAGTTAATTTGGTGCCAAGGGAAGTTTATGGCATGAAATTGTCAGATTTATTAGTTCATCTCCACTTTTCCAGATGTATAATCTTTCCAGTCAATGAAACTGTTTGGCATTGGCTTATAAATTCTCCCAGTCCAGTACATCTAGAGTTGTTGTAATCTACTTTTGTTTTATCAATGTAATGGCAAGGATAAAAAATTCGGCATGTATCAGCAGATCTCCGAAACCTGAAATAAAGGTGGTGTTTTGGATTTTGAGTGGTTTCAGGGGTAGGCAGGCCTAAGATCGACCCTCTGAAGCAAGTTTGAAAAAAAAAAAGAAAAAAAAAACTACAAAAAGTTATTAAGTATTGTAACACCCAATACACCTGTTTGTGTGCATCAGGTGTATCAATACTTTGAACCATGGGTTATGGATAATGGGTCACAGTTTCATCATCAGTTGCAGTATTGGATAAAATCAAATCAAGTATTATAGATCCCCAAAACTCCAGAATTTTTTTGAAACTTCATAAAAAACATTCTGGGTTCTGTTAAAATAGTTTAAATCAGCCAAAATGCTTGAACACTGAAAATGGCAAAATTGTCTAGAAATTTGAATTTGAAATGTATTTTCTGGTAGAGGTGCAACTTGGGTGGCATGGGTTGAGGTTTTGTTATATTTTGAATGGGCCCAGCCAAAGGGTCCAGGCCTGATGCAGAATCTACCTGAGTTGCACCCCTAATGACTAGGATTTACCTAATGTTGTGTATATATTATTACATTATTGTAATTAATGAAAATTCAAATTATTTTAGCATTTAAACATTTGAGGTATTCATGTTTTTACATATTACACTTAGGATTGGAGACCAAGAGATAGCTCAATGTGACCTTTTCTATTACATTGGTTCAATAATTCTTTTTTTTTTCATTTGGTAAGCCTTGATTCAATAATTCATAACAAGGAGGAAGAGATTGAGGAGGATGTTGCCATAGAATTAAAGTAGGATGGGCAAAATGGAGTGGTGCATCCAGAGGCTTATGTAGGCAAATGCCAGTTGGGTTAAAAGAATAATTCTACAAAACAGTTGTAAGGCTGGTAATGCTATATGGAGCAAGGTGTTGGGCAGTCAAGAAACAATAATGTCCAAAAAATAAGTGTGGCAGAAAGGTATACGGATGAGTGTTAAAGGTAGAAGGATAGAATCACGAATGAAGTCATTCAAAGGAACCTAGGAGTAGCTCCAATAAGTGATGAAACCAGAGAAGGTAGACTAAGGTGATTTGGTCATATGCATAGGAGACCATCTATAGCACCCATAAGAACAGATCTATTGCATGTCGAAGGGGCTTGAAGACTGTCTAAGATGGTTGGCTACATGAATTCTGTTTCACCATTCCTCTCTATTTGGGCCCCTTTTAGCATAGCTTAATGTAAGTGTAATTTATCCAAGACATCAGGTGCTATGACCCAAGTAAGATATCCTGGAACTCTAGTCATTTTCACTCCTGTCAGCCTGTAAATTCGACCTTATGTGGGCTGAAAACTTCCTAATAACTCAAGTTGTGTGTGCTACTATTACCTGTTTTGGTTTATTTGATTTGCATAACTCCTCACGTAGTACATCAGCTGCTTTCTGTGCTTCCACAAGGTGTCAAATTTTTAGCATTGGTTTAAGTTTTTGTTATGTGCTATCTACTTCTCTTGTGGCATTTGTTTTGTAAGAATCAGTTATTTGTTCCATCATTAGACTTTGCCAGGTAACATGAGGTCCCGTTCTTTTTATTTTGCTGGATGTAACAAGCTACCTCTTTTCTTAGCACCACATGGTTTGCATCCATTTTCCCGGCTTAGGTGTCATCTGGTTCTTAAAGTATTCCTGTAAAGCTGCCTGGTGGACCCACTTTCTACTTCATAAAAGTTAGAACTGGTCTAATTCTGCATCATTAAAGGTGCACAAAGCTTCTATAATGACCTCTTTTTTGGCGGCTATTTTTTGCATTGTTAAACCATCAGGGCCCATACCAGGTGGGCTGTGGCTAAGTGCCCCAATTTTGATTCTATCTTGGTCCATCATCATGCATCAAAGTATGATCTCCCGTAGTATGTCATGTATCAAGTTCAGCAAGTTTCATTTCTCTTCGATAATTGGATGCAGGCGCTGATTGCTGATTTTGAAGTATCTGAAGGCATATATTCACGGGCACGCATCGAGGACACAGATTCTGTCTGTCTATGGCTTGGAGCAAATGTCATGCTGGAGTACTCATGCGACGAGGTCTGTCAATTGTAACTGGAAACACTACTAACATTTATTTTTCTGGCCACATGGCAGCAAGCCTAAATTAAATTATCTGCAGGCTACTAATCTTCTACAAAAGAATCTAGAAAACGCAAAAGCCAGCTTGGAAGTCCTTGTTGATGATCTCCATTTCCTGAGGGACCAAGTGACAGTAACTCAGGTACTTCATCTTAACCCACATGGTCTTTAACTTCTATCTACATTGTCAATTTGTCATGATGGACGGTAAGGAGTTTATTTGTTGGCTAAATAATTCTCTTATCGGTCAGGTTACAATTGCTCGGGTTTATAATTGGGATGTTCATCAGCGCAGAAGCAAGCAAGCTGCTGCAGCTGCTGCAAAAGACTCCTGAAGTGAAGGTCCTACCATGAGAGGCTGATCTGGCTTTTCTGGTCATTAATGTGTTGTTCAATTAAAAGTCATGTTTTCTTTGTCTAGGGCTAATGGATTATCATCCCTTACACCTAATTCATTGCAATATCTATAAAATGAGATTTCTTGCCCGTTTGATCTGGTCCCATGTTCTGTTTGGCCAAGAGATTTATATAACAAACAAGAAATCAAGAACCAGTTTGGATTTATCAGGATGGGCTTTAAGCGAACTTCAATGTACTTGTATTTTTAAAGTTTAGTGTAACTTGAGGCTTACGGATGCACTTAATGCTGTGTAACATGTTGATGTTTCACTGAAATAGATTTATAGAAGAGCGGATTAAATTCCATGGTTGAATTTGACTGGAGCCACCACCATAAATCAGACCAACTGTCGGGGAGCTTCTTTTCAACGTTTGAATTCTTGTTCCAGTGGAGAAAATGGTAGGACCACAGGAAGCTTCTTTACTGAAACAATTCTCGGTGGGTCTCACCCAACAAAGCGACACATGGTCAGCATGGGGGGGCGTTTGGTAAGTGAATTCATATCATACGGCATCTAGCGCTGCTCCACGACAAGATCGACTAATCACATGATCTTTGTGCTGAAAGTATCTTCTAGTCTCAAAGCTGCAGCTTATTGATTCCTGGTATTTTTCATGTGCTCTTGTATCAGCCTTCCCAGTAGAGAGTCCAACTCTGGGATGGTCCAAGGCCCAAAGTTTAATACATCATAATTAAGTAGAGAGAAAGAGTGTGTGAGAGGCCCATATCCAATTATCCACATGAAAAGAAAGTCTAGCAACCACCTCTCTTATACATAGCCCATGTATGAAGAAGAATGGAGTGAAAGGTGTTTGAGTAATGTTTCAAGAGAGTCAAGACTTGGCACACAGACTAGAGAGAATAGAAAGATGCATCATGCATGATTACTAGCTATTAGATGTTGAACAAGGAAAAGAAGACATATTCATATAATATATATATATATATATATATATATTATCTGGAACTGGCTGTACACAGAATATAAGAGGCAGAGCATATGGACAAATGGCAAAGAGACAAGGGCATCAAGACCCACTATCCAGTCAAGTCTAACAGAGACTTTTCCCAAAGTCAAACGTCGTTGGGATCATCACCATCGTTGTATTTTTAATCCCTTAGATTCCCTCCCTCCCGTGATCGTGTTTAATATGTGAGACCTAGCCTCATTCCATCATGGGCCCCCACTGCTTCCTTTGTCATGTCTTGTCCCACCACCCAAAACACAAAACCCATCTCTCTCTTTCTCACTATGCTGACTGCTGACATTCTGATTTACTAGGAAACAAAGAAAAAGAAGTTGAAGGTAATTAAACGCTTGGAACAGTCGTTTCCCTGGATCCGTGTCTCTTCAATAACATAAAATTTTGGACCTTCTGCTGCCTTTCTTCTCATCTAATAAATTAACCACCGCTTAGCCTTTATCAAGAGAATATAAAATGAAAAATAAATAAATAAATGCCTAAATGGGATAAACACAACACAGTAGTGGAAGGCGGATTCGACGTTATCCAAGGCTGATTCTTGTCGTTGCCTGCAAAATATTAAATCATGTTGTCCTTTTTTTTTGTATTTGACTGCGGGAAAACCTTGCATTATTATTATATAGAGTTGCTGACTTCCACTTATGTCATGTGCCATCCTCCTCATTCATCCCTGCTTTTAATTTCAAATATGGCCTCATCGTTTATTATATCTATCAAAACTTAGAAAGAAGATATCTTTCAATGTGAATTTTTTAAAGGGATATTTTATGATGCTGGAAAAACATGGTATTAGAAAGGTTTTGATTAATTATAATCTCCGTGAATTTTGATGAAAATTCATCTGATTGGTTATTATTTTTATGATGTCGATTGATTGATGGATTATGATTGATTGATTCATCTGATATCATAGCCTAATCCTTTTTTATAAAGAAAATGTATAATAAACAAGCGACTTGGGAAATTATCTCTTGCTTCAATTCACGTAGAAGCTGTCTTTTTCTTTCTTCACTTCAATTCTATTAACAACTTTGTTGATTGATGTTCAAAGTCAACAATCTCCATCTTTCCTATTCAAGTCAAGTCAGTCACGCTTAAACCAACTGCCACTATAGTGGACTCTCTCTCTCTCTCTCTCATGTTGTCAGGCTAACTTATATAGAAGCCTATGACAGTGTGATCAATACCTTTGACATAAATATTAAATACAATTTTGTGGTTGGGTAAGTCTAATGGCATCAAATAACCCTTTTGACTGAGCATGGTCGATGTTTGCCCTAAATGCTCCATGTATAGCAAACCACTTTCAAATGTGAATAAATGTTAATTTCAAGTTCGGATTCATTCAGGGCAAAATTCATTCGGGCAGTTTTTACTGCCTTACATTAAAAATATCATCGTACTTGTGTGCTTTATTTCATGAAAAGATATTTCAAATACAAAGTTGTAAAAGGCTGTTAGAAAAGTGTAGGCACAAATTTGTCCTGATAGGAGTCGATCTCGTTAATTTCTCCTTGTCAATTTTTACAGCATCTACTGCTGTCTACTCTGCAATTTAATTGGGGTAAAAGAAAATTAATCAAGGGAAGATGTTATCTTTCACGATAAATATAAAGGCAGAAAAGCTTTTAAGTCTCTTATTATCGTACTAGCACGAGTAGAAGAAGTGTAACTCTCATATAGAGAATCATGCATAGTATGAATATGATGATCTTCACCCTCTTTCATACTTAGCTTTAATTGTAAAAAGGGGGACCATATATATTAAGTTACGAACACTGGAGTAGTGGACCGTGGACCGAGGACCCACGTTAGCTTTTCCTACAAACAAAGACACACACTCTTCAGTTCAAAGTTCAAACTTGAAAACGTTGGGAGCTTTGACCAGGACAGACCAGCATGGTGTTTGGTCGGGACACCACCATCCATCCGTAGCCAACTGCTAGCCAGTAGCCACTGGGCCAGTGGGGCATCCTCCGCCGGTACGTACGTACTTGAGAGTTGAGAAAACTCTACGTTCACTAAAACTTAGGGCTTTGGGCCTTTGGTTTTGACTCCAACTCCCGCTGGAGATCGGATCACTGCATTCTTCTTCCAACCATGAACCGCCTTTGAGTTTAGACAATGCCAACTTACTTTTTTGTTCGACTTCACATGGCACCCCACAGCACATCCCAACCGTGTATTGGAAATATCTCCCGATGACAAGTACGCACGGGAGATATTCTCAATGCATGTAGGGCACGCGCTGTGAGGACTGATGTGATCTCATTATTTCTCACACCAAAGCTGAAAAAAGAGTAATAATATTTTATTTATTTATTTTTGTCCCTTCTCAACCTCCCAAACTCATTAGTCAATTTTTAATAAACACTGTTAAATTGGAGTTTTTTTAACTAGTGTACGGATCGATACGTACTAATATGGTATTGTAAAAAAAATTATAATTATTCAACCGGTATTAAAAAAAATGATAATCAATCAGCTGTTATTCATCAAAATTCATAAAGAATTTTATTGGTCAAAGCGAGGTTTCCAAACTGTTATTGGCCCATATGGTTGGGCGGTTTGGCCTGGCCGGAAACCAGTCAAAGGTATTGGTTCCATTTCACCTTAAATTGCTATTTTATTTTAATTATTTTTTATTTTTTTAAAATATCACAGATTAATCCATTCAGATCCGACAGTCGAACCATTGACCCAAAAATGAGTGGTCAAAACAGTTACCATTCCAAGTCAATTTTTAAAATATTGAGTCAAGGTTACTGTTGTATCAAAATATTATCTTTATAAGCATGTATATATTAATAAAATGAGAAAATCTATAATGCGGGAAAGACAAAATATAGTAATTTAATTTTTATGATAGATATGGTGTGCAGTAACCAGTGCCATAAGCATCATTAATAGCTAATCGAGACAGTTGATTGGCTTCCCTGAAGAAATGTTGGATCTTAATTGCCCATGACTTAGGTCCACAACTCCATGATTTGCTCCAATGACTGTTTATTTTCCAACTTGGGCATTTAGGCTGTTAGATGACTTGGATCGTGATGAGGGAATTTGATTCGACGACATCAATAGAGGTGTCCCCAGTGAGCTCTGATCTCCTACTAGGAATTTCAATGTGATCCCCGCCCCCGCCCCCAATTATGAAATGAATCCCATTCTTGTCTTCGATTCCTGTGGGGGATAAATTTTGTCCTACATCCCCGCTCTCCAATGAGGATGGATTTTCTGTGGGAGCCGAGTTTCCAAAATTTTTAGATAATAGTATTTTTTTTTTTGAAAAATAAATAAAAGTTTTAAATATATTTTGATATATATATATATATATATATATTTAGTTAATATAAATAACATTTAAATATATATAGATATATAATCAGGGTTGGGGCGGGTTGGAGACCTCAATCCCCATCTCCGACCCTAACCTCGATCGGAGATTCCTATTAACCCCCGTTCTTGTCCCCACCCCAACAAAAATATCCCCATCCCCGACACCATTGGGTCAGGGAGGTCGAGTCCCCATCGAAGATGGGAAAAATTGTCATCCCTATCTCCTACCCACACCTAATCATGCCTCACTACAGCTGTATATTGAGAACATCTCCAATATCTGCATGTTATCATTTATGGAGAGATGTTCCCAATGTACAGTTGTAATATCATGTGGGTAGGTGCGAATAGGATTCTTGTGGGTAGGAGGAGATCAGAATCATCCAGTATTGATGGTGCAGCCCTTTTGCCATTCATCATATCATGCCTATAAAATTTTCAGAACTTGCATAAATAGTTGTTAAGTGAGAGCCGGATCTCCTATAAAATATATTCTACACATGTATGTTAAATTTATAGTTAGATACCGATTTCCCATATTTTCAAAGAGTTATAAAGTTTTTGCTTGTAAAGAATCCTATTGCATTAAGTAAGTGACCAGGCTCCTCAAAGCAAAAACCGTAATATATTGCTAACAGCACGGCATCTAATTGCACACCAAGAATATCTCTCCATTATTCAAACATACAAATATAAAATATAAAAGATATTCCCAATGTGTGGCCAGATTTCATGCTATCAATGTATTTGTATGCTTTCTTTTATTTAATTAGATTCAGGTGAATACAAATAATCAAATAACAGCGAGGAGATTCTCTGTAAATAAAAACTCTGATCATGGTATCTACTTAGTCTCTTACTTCATATACTCTGTAAATCACATATGATGCTACCCCCCGCGGATGTATGTTGCATATAGCTCAGGTAGTGGTAGCCTCACTTATCAATCATCATTACCTCTCTCTCTCTCTTTTATGTTTCAATCTTTGTGGAAATTGGGAGGGGAGTTTCTGATGGCACAGCGAACAGGAGGTGAACACAGGAGTGGTGCTGCCAAATGAGAACGGGAATTAACTGAATTTGATGACTGTGTCACGGCGCGGGCTGCTACGCCGGTAATAAATGGCGGTGAATCCAGAAATTCAGTGATGGTGGGCCACGTCCACTTTATTGCTGGCGTGGGACGTTATTATTGGTCCCACAACCCCGTTCTCCCGTCCAACTGTTTAAAATTTTGGCGAATGGAAACCGAGTTCAGTGACGTGTAGTAAAATCGTGTCAGATAAGCAGAACACCAGAGCTTCTTTCACACGTAACGTACTATTCCTTTTTTATTAGTTTCAGTAGAAATATATTTATTAATTTTATTCAATGCTAATTATGCTTTTTTTATTTTCTTCATTCTTTTCACCGACTTCTGTACGGGCACGGGGTTTCGGATACCCGGCCCCAATTTCACACGTTTTTTTTTTTTTCTCTCTTTTTCCCCCTACTTTCCCTCTTTCGGTTTTTAGCAGACAGACGGGACGTGACTGATAAATCCATCTCCCCCAGACCCAGACCCAGACCCAGACCCATACGCTCGTTGGCTCATTTCTCGCAGGCTTTTAGGTAAATTAACAACATAAAGCACCATCCAGGATTAGGAGATTACTGAAATGCCCTTCTCACTCTACCTGGAAATTTCCTCCGAGGCATTTGGTTATATTTGTGTTTATATCTATCATATCATTTGGTAAGAATGCAAAATCAAATCAGCTTTGCATCTTTATTAAACCAAATATTTTTTTATTTGTACTCTTCCCAAATACAATATAATTGTTATCTCTCGATCAATCAACCTGATTCGTTTGATTGGTATACTTTGACCTATTTGGGCGTCTCAGATGCCTCATAGATATCAATTTTATTAATGAAAGGGTAAGTTACATAATACTACCCTATACCCTATACCCTATACCTATACTCCAGGCTAGTGGCAATTATCATCTTAAATTTTCGAATTACAACAAAAATTCCTTTCCATTAAGTTGAGTGGTGGAAGAAATTAATTTACCAAAATATCCATTTGAGAAATTGCAACAAAAAACCAAGAAACAAATAAAACTTTTATAAGAACCTCCAATTTCAACAAATACAACATGCAATTAATATCAACTAAATCAATAACAAATGAAAATCAGTAAAAAAAAAGTTTAAAAAATGTTAGAAAAAGGATAATTTGGGAATTTATAAATGTTTACACAATCACACAAATCTTGTTCAAATTAATTGTTAACGAGTTCATATCTGCACCCTACAATGCCCCAGAGCACATCTCCACCTTGTATTGGGAACATCTCCTGATATCAGTACGGGAGATGATGAGACATCACTGAGAGATATTCCTAATACAAGGTGGGGATGTGCTGTGTGGATGTGCCTTGTGGGGCACAGATGTGAGCTCAGTTGCTATTGAAGGGGGTCTTTGTTACAAATGAAAATTTAAGAGAGTAATAGGCACTATCTCAAAATAGAGGGTAGTAATCTGTAATTTACCCTAATAAGATATAACGTAGCACATGCATGCAGATGCAATGCAAAATTCATAAGATTGTCCAATCTATGCACGTTAGTACATGCAAATACATTTTTATATCCTGTCTCGCAAGCTACCTTATCATCCAAACTAACAAAAGTAAAAACCCCAAAGGATAAAAAAACTAAAAAGGAAAAAGAAAAAGAAAAAGAAAAGAAAGGAAAAGCCGAGGGAAAATGAGAGAATCTTTGGATTGGAGAAAGCAATCATTCAGTTCAGATTTCACATTTGAGAGGAGTGAGGATTGTGGAGGTAATATATCCAGTTCCAGCTTTTAGGCCGAAAATCAACCCGAAGAGTCACCGAAACGCGTTCAGGCGTTCACACTTCACACACTCACTCAGTAATCCAGCCGAACTTGAGCAGTTGAATGCGTGTGTTGTGTGTATGAAAGCGTCGACCAGCGAGAGCGAGAGTCGAGACCATGTGGGCGCCACCCTCCTCCTCCTGCATTCATTGCCACCTCCCCATTACGGTGTCCATAGATATGGTTGACCGTTGATCGCCGGTCAAATATAACTGGACAACCTAGCCAACCTGTCTTCACAACCTTTCTCCCTCCATGTTCACACCTTAATAAAAACCCAACAACATTCTTTCCCATTTCTCAATTAATCTCTCGTTCCCATGTCCCAAGACTCCCAACAAGATTTTTGACAAGTGAGAACCAGAGAGAGAGAGAGATCAACAGCCACACTAGCAGCAAGCAAGAGCAACTATGCAAAGCAACAACAATTAACCCACAAGGAGCTATATAGAGATGGTGATGAATTAATTTCATCTCTTTTTGATCGATTATTGGCGCACAAAGCAGAGAAAATGGAGACAGAGAATTCCATTGGAGCAGCAGTTACGGCGTTTTCGGATCAGATTCCCACCAACTTCGCTTTATCCAGCATCTTCGACACGCCTTTCGGAGGTGAAAAATGGTCTCTAGGATTCATGGATTTGTTGGGAGTCCAAGATTTTACCCCATCCATGTTCGATTTACTACAGCAACCTTCGATGCCATCACCGCCACCCATAGTGTCAGTCGGGGAGTACTCCTCCGATATATTGAATTTGCCTGCAACGCCCAACTCTTCTTCCATTTCGTCATCATCGACTGAAGCAGCAAATGATGAACAGTCTAAAGCAGTGGAAGAGGAGGAGCAGGAGAAGACTAAGAACCAGTAAGTGTTTCAGCTGGTACACTGAACGAATTTTAATTTCTTAGCTTAGTTTTATTAGCTCGTAATTTCATCTTAATTTATATACTTGAAACGATCAATATTGTGTTTTATTCGCTGTGGGTTCAGACTGAAATCCAACAAGAAGAATAAAAAACGGCAGAAAGAGCCGAGATTTGCTTTCATGACGAAGAGCGAGGTTGATCATCTGGAAGACGGGTATAGATGGAGAAAGTACGGGCAAAAAGCAGTAAAGAACAGCCCCTTTCCGAGGTACTCTCCTGATTTTCTTATCGTGTCAAATCTTTATTTCCTCGGTGGGGAACTGGATCGGTACATGGCGGAGACGATCGCTATTGCTTTTCGCTGGCTATTATTATCTTTAACTGTGCTTTTTGTTTTTCTTTTTTTCTGGTTCTGGTTTTGTATATTACAGGAGCTACTACCGTTGCACCACTGCCACATGTGGTGTGAAGAAGAGAGTGGAGAGATCGTCGGATGATCCGACCATTGTCGTGACAACGTACGAAGGTCAGCACACACATCCGAGCCCTGTAATGCCTCGTGGAATCTCCACCGGAATCTCTCCGGATTCCAGCAGCTACGCTGCGGCCTTCGCCATGGCGCCGATGCAATTGACGCAACCTCATCATGACTTTCAAGAACAGCAGCAACCCTATTTCCATAACTTATTACCACCTTCTCTCAACTATAATTCTAGTGTTTCTTTGGCTCCTACTTTCGTACCAGAGAGACGTTTTTTCACTTCTGCAACTTCTTTTATCAGAGACCACGGCCTTCTTCAAGACATAGTCCCTTCGGATATGAGAAGTGCTTAGGAAAAAAACATTTCTGTTAATTGCTGGGCATGTATTCCTCTCAATTAATTACTGACTTATGAACATCACCCTGAGAGCTAGAACAACTCACTTTATTACATAGATATATTGAGCTACTAGTTTCCTGCTAATTAGGTTCTTAGCATTATTTTTGTATTTATTTAGATATATTGTTCAACATTAATTGGAACCTCAGGGCTTTGCATTCTGCTTTCATTAATTAGATTTGTCGGATATATTTGTATTTTTGGTTGAAGGAATATGCATTGATTTCAATGCGAGTATTGTAGTAAGGTTTGGTGGGTTTCATAGGATTAGGTCTACTGGTTGGGGTAAGTTGGTATAAGTAGAAACTTTCCAGCTTTTATCTTTGACCGGGAATTCTCATTTCTCAGACAGGAACCATTTATAAAAATTTAGGAATTTGATCATGTACCTGAGTCAAGGATGGCGATCAGTAAAACTAATTAAAGATCGGATGATTGAGATTTGTGAAGAGAAAATTGTTGGTTTGGGGAGTTCATTAATGAGTTTTTTTTTTTTTTTTCCTGATAGAAATGTGGAATAATAAGAAACTGACAGCAACCCATTAGCTACAGTTTATGGTCTTCTTTCCTCTTTTGGGATTTTGATTCATTAAATGAATAGTACTCTGGTGTTTGTACACCTTGGCGTTGGGGAATGTGGAGTGGCTCTTGATTCAAAAGGATGGCTCTGATATATATGCATGGTCCATTGCTTTATCTTTCTGTTGACGAAATGAATGGTTTCTCTATTTTTCTATCTCTTGCTTTAATTTCAATATTTGGCTTATATGCATAGATACAAACATATATAAATAAGTCCTTAGTTAATACAGGGTGGGTAGATTGATGAAACCTCCCAATTGCAATCATCTCCCCTGAGCTTTTTGATACAATTGCAATATAATACAAATTTTATGAATTAAAATGAAGAGAATTTAAAGTTACAGCTTTATCTTTGATGGATATAAAGGGTAAATTTAAAAGATAAGAAATTTAAAAAAATAAACATTTTTATTAAAAGTAATTATATGGGTATTTTGAATATTTTCATGCCTCTTTTTAGAAGATTCTACCAAAGGGATCGACTTACAACTATGTCAGAAAGACCAGGAGAGGTGATTGCAATTACCAAACCTCAGGGAATGTTTCAGCAATTTACCATATGAATTTTGGAGATCTCATCATCATCATCATCACCGCCATATGATAAAAGGTTTGTATTGTAATTTCATTACATAATTTTAACTTATTATTAATTGTTCTCCTTATAATGACATTTTGTATGGTGTATTTAATAAATAATAATAATGATATTATGTGCATAATGTATAACCTAGTAATCAGGTGAGGTTCAATATCGTTTGGCAAGTCTTTTTTCAAAGATCTTCTAAAAGTTATGACAATCAAAAGACGTAGTGAGCTTTTGTATCAACAGTTTGAAGACCATTTAGTTAAAGCATGTCTTTTTGTACAAAAACGAGTTAAAAAAAAATCGAAAAGCTTCACTTAGAGTTTCCCGAAAATAGCCCAAAACGGGCTTTGCGCGTCTTTTCGTTGCAATATCTTTTGATAGTTAAATCTCCTACAAACCAAATAGAAAAAGACCACCACGCAATCTGTCAACCTTCTAAGTAGCCGATAAATCGTGCAGAATGACACGTCAAACAGGGCCGAAGTTTTTGAGTTGGACTTAACTCTAAATTGACCAATAGATCAGATGGATCAATGATTCAATCAATCGAGTCATTTGGTCTTTGATTAAGTCAATGATTTTCTAACAAAAATATGGATTTAACGATCTCGTTCAAATGCTTCGAACAGTTTAGCCGTTCGAATCGTTCAATCGTTCGGATCAATGTCAACTGTTTTCTACCAAAAATTAAAAAAAAAAAAAAAAAAAAACTTTTCGGGTGAGGTCATGTTCCCTCTCAGTACGGGACCTGATTTTTCATGTCGGGTCGGGTTCATGGTTTGGATTAACTTTTTGTCAGGTCTACATCTGACTCTGGCTAGGTGCCTATAGTTTAGGGATATGTAACAGACAAATAGTATTTCACCAGTACTGAACGAATGCCTTCGTAATGAAATGAAGAGCCAATCAGATGAGTATCAGATATCAGGATTTGACATTTTTAATCTACATTACTATGTGCCTAGAAAACTTTATGAGTTCATAAATGATCTTCGACACTCGACAATCCAGATTTCTCCAGATCTTGTGGACCTATATATATATATATATAATTTGCCACGTGTCAGCATTCCATAGCATTATAATTCATTTTGTAAATTGGGGCTACACAGGTAACCATAATGGATACGACCGAAAGCACCGTAAGATTGGTGTGCTCAATTTGAAAGGAGTAAAAGTACAAATATGTACAGTATAAATACATATAAAATAATAAAAAATACATAATTTGCACTCTATATATTTGTATTTGAACTCCTTTTAAACTGAGTTTTAGGCTCGGTTTAGAAAGAGTACAAATACAAATATATACAGTACAAGTAGATATAAAATATCAGATTTTGCATTCTATATATTTGTATTTGTAATCCATCTAAACTGAGTCTTATGCTGTGTTTGGCTGCAATGCAAATAAATGTGCACTGATGCAAAACTATGAGAGTGCAAATGATTTGAATGTAAATTAAAACATGAAGCAAAATCAAATAAAACCCAAAACAAAATTAAACGATAATTTGCATTTTTTTTCATTTGCACCCCCATGCATTTGTACTAGTATAAATAAAATTGCTTTGCAACCAAACACAGTCTTAGGCTTGGTTTGAAAGGAGCACAAATACAAATATATACGGTGCAACACAGGTTTAGAAATATAAGTACAAGACTTTGCACTGTACATATTTGTATTTCTACTCTTTCCAAACACAGCCTTAGGAGCAATTCCAGATTTGTTTGAAGGACAGAACTGCTTCTCACAGAGCACCCCTCACACTAACTTCACAGCTTAACAGCGGGATGTGATGTAGTTAGCAAATATAGATTACATCACTTCCCTTTTTTTTTTTTTATTTGAAGTGCACATACTCCCCTTCTCCCTCTTTTTTCTGTTCATAGTTCATAACAGAAATACAACTTTAGTGGTTATTAAATATCACGGGTACAAAACTGAACATCACCAACCAGACAAGTGCTTTCAGAATCGTAATCAATGATTTTTATTGGCAGTTTTTGGAAAGAAAAAACGAAAAAAAAAACATTCCTGAATATCCAAATTAAGCTCAATATTTGTGGATTAAAGATCGAATTTCAACTCCATGCAATTGTTCCTTGCAAGGTTCAAAGTATCGATACATATCGGCCTGTATTGTGCCGGTGGCTTTCCAATACGTCCTTACAGGAATTGTATCGGGTCAGACCATGGTTTAGAGAGTAGCCAGAACTTCAACCGACCCCCTAAACCGGTTTTGAAAAAAAATAAATAAAACATAAAAAAATTCCAATATAAGCCGATATATCAATATTTTGAACCTTGATTCCATGCAGTGCATTCAAAACACGTCTATGCAATGGCAGTGGCAGAGTGAAAAAAGTCCAACTGCATATCCAGTGCACTACAAAATGCCCAGCTGGGACGAAACAGAAACAGGAGTTCCATTAGTAGAAAAAGAAGATTAACCTCCTCCCTTCTTCTATTTCTTCATTGTTAGCAAGGATTAAAGTATTGGACGTATTAGATGTATCCAGATATGCTTAGATATACTAGTACACGTATTTTGGGTTTCAAATCTTTTTTAAAACCCTTTTAATTTATTATAAAACAAAAAAAATATATATATAAAAGACTAAAAAAAATTAGGAATAAATAGACTAAAAAAAATATGGATAAATAAACTGCACTCCACCTCAGAACTATAGCAGTTTAGCTTGATTGAATAATTTAAGTGATGCTTTGCATTTGCTGTTAATACTTAATAAGACTGAGCAGTGGGCTCCTTGATCCTTATCCTTCTCGCGCCAAAATTCATACTGTTGCTGAACATTTGGTACCATGAAACTACGACCCATATCAGCCTCTGCAGATGAGCAGTCCTCCATGCACAAAATCATCTGACGATGTATAACTCAAAAAGCCTACTTTGTATGTTTCACCGGAGAAATGGCCAGTGTTTTCAGTGTCATTCCCATCAACACGGAACGGCGAGTATCAAGTATGCATAAATGCTTATCAATGAATTTTCAAACTGCATAAATGTTTTTTTATTCAAAAATACAAGGAAAAAAAAACAGTTGTAGATCTACCACCCCTGATAGCAATATAGACTAAGACCCATCATTCCTTAATTGTTTTAGTAATTTTTATTCTTTTTATTACACTTGATAATTTATTATTAATTTTTTTAAAATTAAGTATATTAACAATTAATGATTAATGTAAAAAATTTAAATTATGTAAAAAATAAAAATATATAATACTGATTATTGAAATATTCATAATAAACAAATAAATTCGTCCAAAAAGGTTCCAAGCATTCCTACCTACGAGTGCAAGTGCAATACCCCACTAAAATAATTTATATATTTTAACAAATGCTTAACCCAAACCCACTCAACTTGGAGCCCCACCTTGCATACTCGCTCCATTCAGAGCTCGTATAAGAACTTTTTGGCTTGCCAAGAATCAGAACCCAAATTTACCAAATGCCCACCTCAGTTTAGATACTGATTGCAATATATTATTAACACAAACCAAATAGCTTTTTGCTTATATGCTTATAGTTTTATGCCTTTTTTTTAGCAATTAAGCACCAGATTTTAGTATTCATGTTACTTAAAGAGTGACCAACAAGGCTGCTTTCACGGTGTCACCTGGGACGGTCAGTCATATTGGCACCCATTCACAGAACAAGCTAAATCAATGTCTATAATAACAATTTGCTCAAAAAAAAAAAAAAACCCGACCCCACCACAACTTGAAAAGACAAATAGAGCTAAAAATCCTTTTGTCCTCCCCTGGATTTGAGGATTTCCCCTCCAATCTTCAACACTATGAATTTGAGCATTCTCACAACCTATTTATTTTTCTTTTCTTTTTCTCAGTAAGAACTATGAAGAGACAATCATATAACATTGCTTTTCTCTCTCTTTTTCCAGTTTTCCATTTGAGGCAATAAATGTCCGAGTAATAGAATTTCATGAGGGATATACCTCAAGAAAATAAATTAAAGCATTGCCATCACATTGCTTTACCCATGCAGCCACCACGAGGCTTGCCTGCCTGCTTTCCTGCTACCACAGGCAGGTGGAGCGCCATTTAAATCTATGACGACACTTCTCTGCTGGAACACTGCCTCAGATGCCTCCTTTCCACTTCAGGTTCCTGCTGAAGGACAAAGTTTCCATCAGAATAAGCACAAGGGAAAGTGTCTTTAAATTGTGGTTTTATCATATATGCAGCGGGCAACAAATAATACAACAAGGTCCAAATTAATGAACACCCTAGCAAAGTTTCTCCAACCAGATGACTATCTTAACAATCAAAAACAGCATTTTTTTTCTTTGCAGGGTGCCAACCAGCTGGTTGGTAAGGTCTCCTGCTGGTCATAGCGGAGACTTGGGGTCGAATCCCGCATGCACCTGGGTTGGGGGATAGGCTGCCTCCCCCCTCCAAGTTATGTAGCCCTTCAGAAGGTATAAAAAACATCATTTTTTTGGACAGTAAGAAAGTGTGGCTGATATTCCCAAAATCTTTGGCTAACGCTTCCCAAGCTCTGTTTGCAAAGCACCTAGGTTAAAGCTCAATAAATTGGCTATTCCATGCAAGGACCATCATTGATGGATAAGAATTCCTACTTTATTTAAAAATAATGCATTCTGAAAATCAAACCAATGAGCTGAACATCAAGGACAACAAAATACCCCATGAATATATCCTCATTTTTCTGTGACTGAAAAAAAAAACTAAAAATTATTGGCCCATATCTTCCTTGTTTCAGTAGTTCGAACCAGTAGAGAAGGAAGGAGAGAGAGAAGAAGGGGAAGAAGAAGAAAAAACAGTCGAACTGAGGCTAAACCCTACTAGTCGACCATAATATGCATTATGTTGTAATTAGTGTACAATGACTAAACTTCCCCCACTTAAGTATGGAACAAGAGAACTACAGAAGTAATATCAGGTTGCCACATCAGCATATAACTTAAACATGATGAAAAGACTAATCTACCCTTACTCGACCAACTCTAACATTCCTAATCCTATGTGAAGAAGGTAAATAACCTGCAGAATTGCCCTTCCACATCCAATTCTGTACAGCGTGAACTCCCTGCAGTAGTTGCAGACACAATGAACTCAAATGATGACATCAGATTAAGGGTGGAGAGTTTGAAATGGGTTAATACCAAATACCTGTTGGAAGCGAGCAGGATCAATAACTGACCCAGCTTCTGTTGGCAATTGTGCATAACCAAGTTCCTGCAAAACCAAAGCATCCAATTAATGGCAATTGTCTTGATACATGATATTCAGCTTGGTTCCCAAAAGAACTGCATTATTAGTAGTCATAGGATTGTTTATCACTAACTGCTTCATACACTATTAGTAGTCATAGGATTGTTTATCACTAACTGCTTCATACACAACAACCAAAAGTACCAGTTCCGGTTGCCTCCAATTATTTACACTCTCAAAGTACTTTAAGATACTGAGAACAAGCCAGGAAATTATATTCCATTATGATAGGAGCTGCTGAGAACCCAGCAATTTTCCTGATTGTTACAGGCACAGGCATCAGTCAGTGCAAGGGAATTTTGGTTATCACAAACACCAAGCCCAAAGGCCCTGAACGAATCAGGATAATATCACCACCATTTTTCACTAACGAAGCATCAGCAGCACATACGAACTCCAATTGCAAAACAAAGATCACACAAGGGTTATTTCAATATGACAATTTGGCCACTACTATGCAAAGAGGACCAGACTCCAAATTATACACATTCAAATTTAAGGCCTTCTCACCAAGGGATTGTACCTTCAAACCACTAGCCAACTTTTGCACTCAACCATAATTTGGATAGATCCAGAATGAGATGGTCTATTGATCAAGCCATATCATCTGGAAAACATACAGCTAGAGATGATACTGGCATTAATGCCAGTGGCCCAAACTATCCAGAACCTCATTGTGGAAAGTAATGGTAACAATCAAACTTGGAGAACTACTCATCAAAAAAAAAAACTTGGAGAACAACTTTTTTCCGTTTTCTAGATTGGGGATCATGTAACGCATTCCACTACCACTGGCAGAATAAAACCTTCTATTTCCCTTTTTCTAAATGTAATAGGCTCCAAATGGAAAACAACAAAGTCCTGTGAATCATGTTTTCCCCACTTGCTACCCCTTTCAGACTCCCAATGGGATTTTGAAAACAATTCGTCCCAAAACCTAGAAGGATGAGCCTTATGCTCCACTGACAACTAAAACACTTTTTATTAAGAAACCATATTTGTAAAAGGATGAGCCTTATGCTCCACTGATAACTAAAACACTTTTTATTAAGAAACCATATTTGTAAAAGTCTTATGGTTTACAATATGAAGCCCAAGGGTTTCAGTTCAAAACTTATTGGCTTAATTCTTTTCTGTGAACTGCAAACATCTAATTACCGTTTGAATCCTACTATTTGACTTGCACATTTTACAATTTATACACTTCATACAATTTGAATATATTCAATTGAGACCTAGTTCTGTACTGTCATATATTTGTTTCTTCTAGTTTTTCTCAAAGGTCTCTTATTTTAAAAACCTTGCTGGAATATGATATATTTAGGTTATCTAATACCTAGCTGAGTTTATCTTCCATCATACAAGTGCCATTGTATGTGGATTAATCAAACTTGATCACATTATCTTATGCTTCTAGTCTACAAGTGTTAAACTGCATTATGCAATAGATATGGATTAAAAATGGAGTAAAGTCATATCCCATACATATTTAAGTTTAATCTGGTCTTCTTTGTTTTTTACAAATTTATATGAGAAAATTAATCTTATTGTTTATGATAAGATTCATGATACTATTTGATTCAACATTCTCTATGCTTTATGATTTTCATAACATGCAAGAAACACAAGATAGGTAGTTTGAACACATCAAACTACCTTATCCCAATTATATGGAGTCGGCTACATGAATCCTGTTTCGCCATTCCATTCTGTTTAATGCCATTAAGCAGAGCTTATATATGATAATATGACCTAAAATTAGTATGAAACTAAGGTTCAAGCTCAATGTTCAAACTAGGTTCAAGCTTATATATGATAATATAATGATATTTTATCAAATGATAAAACCATAGACACACCTTTATAAATTATTATCTTGCTTCAAATCATTAAACAAAGTTAAGAAAGTAAGGTTATAGACAAAATAATATGTTGTGCAGTTGTCTTCTAACCTTAAGATTCAAAACTACATGATGGAATGAGTTCAACTAAAATTTAAACCCATAGAAAATGCAAATGATTCTAATAGATCAACCTATCTATTAGACAACTAATATTTCATTTCATGTTTGAAATGAATATCAAGCTGGCACAAAGTAGTAACAATGTGCACTAGGCAGGTGATAACATTGCTACTCTACATATCTACAATATTGTCACCAACATATGTTATAATACTATCTCTTATACATCACATGGTGCTAGTAGTGTTTGCTGGGGAATACGTTCAATTCCAGTAAAATTTCATGTCGCTACCCATGGAAATGGAAGTGTGTCTTGGGAATATTAGGAAATTTATGGACATTTTAAACTATGATTAATGCTACCGCCTACCAGACAGACAAATTGTGTCAACTGACTCAACTCAGTGCACTAAAGGTTCCTAAGGTGTACTAGAAAACAAATCCTAGCAATAGTCATTTACCTGTCTTATTATCTTATTTTTTTTATTTATTTGTTGATGGGTATAAAAGCTGGGGGATCAAACTTTATTGCTAAACATCCAAGGAGGTGCAGACTTGAGCCCTTGAAAATATTAAATATGTATGTTCCCACAAGAGAAGCTATATTTAACAACGTCATATACAGATGCAATATGTGATGACTTTTTTTTTTGATAAATGATTGAAATTTTATTCAAAAACTCAATAAGATATTACAATACAGCCTGCCCAAAAGAGGGGCACAAGCTGGTGCCTCTCCACAACAACAACAATGTACTACCTCAGACTAGTAACAAAATATTTACAAAGCTGCCCAGAATAAGCATTCCCTTGATACCCCTTGTTTAGCTAACCCATCCGCTATGGTGTTAGCTGTTCTACCCACCCACTGAAAATTAACATTCATGTTCCTTGAGAACCTTTTAGCTTTCCTCATAATATCCCTGTAGCACCAAATCACTGAATCTGGATTTTTTAGCCAACCCACAACAACTTTGGAATCTCCTTCAATAATCAAATTTTGAACTCCTAACTGGTCCACAATCTGAATGCCTTGTACTGCCACTAGAAGCTCAGCTCTAATAGAGTCTCCTATACCCACGGAGCCTGAGAATAAAGCTAAAATATTACTATCTTTATCTCTCAGCATCCCACCAATCCTTGATTGACCCGGATTTCCTTGGCTGCTACCATCAAAATTCAGCTTTGTCCAGTCTTCTGAATGAGGTACCCACACATCTGGTACCCTGTTATTTCTGCTACTGCTACTAGCCACAGCCATCCAGTTCCTCAACATGTCATTAAAGGAATATAATTTGAAGGAATCTAATGATCTCAGCCAATGGATTGCTCTGGTCATAATGCAATCCTTTACATTCTGAACATTCCTCTCTTTCTTTTGGAATATCCTCGCATTTCTTTCTTCCCAAATTGTCCACAAAGCAGCAGCTCTAATGCTCCTCCACATTGTTTTACCAATTTTTGTGAGCCACACAAAGAAGGAAGGATCAAAGATCTGATCTATGATTGTGGTCAAATTCCATCTACAACCAAACAAAGCATAGATCCAACCCCAAATAGCAACAGAAAAAGGACAGGTTAAAAGTAAGAGCAATCCTCACCATTAGCCCTGCAAAGTACACACCAATTAGGAGACAAACACATAGAAGGCCTTCTCTCCTGCAACAAGTCTGAAGTGTTGATTTTCCTATAGAACACCTCCCAGCAGAACATAATAATTTTAGGAGGTACAGGTTTAGAACAAATCTCCTTAGCTGGGAAACCCACTTGTCCCAAGGGAGAGCAAACGGGCTTAAAAAAGGAAGCACATGTAAAGTAACCTTTTGGGTTTGGAGACCAAAGTCTCAAATCAGAGCTGGAAGGGTCCAGAAAAACACTTTCAAGTAGTGACAACAGGTCTGAAGCACACGAGAGTTCATGATCCCTCAAACCCCTACGAAACCCTAAGTCCCAACTCAAAGAATATGGAGAATCAGATGTTGGAAGAAAGTGAGAGATTGTTTTACCCTTGTAGCAAGAAATGTAATAGAGAGAAGGGAAACTGTCCTTAAGGGCAGAATTGCCCACCCAGATGTCCTCCCAGAACAAAACAGAAGTACCAGAATTGACATCATACCTCATACAGTTGAGGAAAAGAGGAAGAATCCTCTGAATTGCTTCCCAAGGAGTTGCTAGAGTGGCTCGACACGATACACTAACATCCCATCCATTTCCCAAACTGCCATGTATACTATCTATCACGTCATGCCAAAGTCACTCCTGTTCTAAGGGCCATCTCCACAACCATTTTACTAGGAGTGCTTTGTTCTTCAAAACTAAATCCCCCAGTCCCAATCCACCTTCCTCTTTCCTCCTACACACTATTCCCCAATTTATTAAGTGATCATTTTTTTCCTCCCCTGGCTCCCAAAGAAAATTTCTCATTAATTTCTCTAATTTCTTGGCTTCCCTGACAGGAATCCTAAGCACAGAGAAGTAATAAATCAGCAGATTTGCTAAGGAAGCTCTCAGTAAAGTAACTCTACCCCCTGAAGAAATATAGTTCCTTTTCCACGAGGCTAACCTTTTCTCAAACTTTTCTAAAACCAGGGCCCAAAAGGTGCTCTCCTTAGGGCTGGCTCCTAGAGGAAGACCTAAATACTGTAAAGGCCAATAGGAAATGGGACAACCTAAAAACTCAGCCACCGACTCAAGAGTCCTCTCATCCAAATTCACTCCCACCACACAGCTCTTTTCCAAGTTTATTTTCAGATTTGATACTCTCTCAAAGTGCTTTATCAAAGATTTGAGATTACTTACTGTTCTTCTATCACCCCCATCACAAAAGATTATTAGGTCATCAACAAACTGTAAATGGGTCACCCTAATCCCATTCCTTCCTATCCTCCAACCTCTCACTACACCTTCCCTGTCTACCTTAGAGATCAAACTACTGAAAACATCTGCAACTAGGGTAAAAAGAAAAGGGGAAAGGGGGTCGCCTTGCCTTAACCCTCTAAAAGCTGGGAAGAAATCCTTGATTACCCCATTAACCAAGACCGAAAAATGGCAAGAACTTATGCATCCCTTTATCCAATTACACCATCTAACTCCAAACCCACAACACCCTAGGACCTCTAATAAGAAGCTCCAATCCACAAGATCATAGGCCTTTTCTAAATCCAGCTTACAAACAAAACCTTGCTTTCCAAACTTTCTCATATCCCCCACACATTCATTCGCTATTAGAATCTAATCTATTATTTGTCTCCCTTGCACGAAAGCTCCCTGGGCTTGACTAATGATGGAGGGTAGCACTACTTTAACCCTCAAGGATAACATTTTAGCCAAGATTTTGTAAATGCTAGTCACCAAATTAATCGGCCTAAAATCTTTAGGATTTTTTGCTTCTTTCTTCTTAGAGATTAGAGCTATGAAAGTGGCATTGACACCGGGGCTTACTTTGCTATTAACTTCAAATTCCTTAAACACAACACAAAGGTCTTCTCTTACCACATTCCAGCAGTCTTGATAGAAAACCATGGTGAAGCCATCTGTTCTAGGGGCTTTGGATCTATCCATTGAAAACACTACATGTCTAATTTCCTATTCTTCAAAACTCCTCTCTAACCAGCTTGCTTGCTCTTCAGACAGCCTGGGCCAATCTAGACCTTCCAGCCTTAGTCTATTATTCAAAGGCTTCCCTGCAATTGATTTAAAGTGATCCACCAACACTTTTGCTATCTCATCTTGATTTTTTCTTCTCCTCCCAATGGAAAAAATTTGTATTGTCGTCCCCTTCTTTGATCCATTTGTGTCTTAACTTTTGCCTCCATGAGATCTCTTCTCTAAGGAGAACTTCTTCCAATTCCATTTTTAACCTACTTCTCAAGATCCTTTCTTGCTCATTCATAACTCCCTGGAATTCTTCGGAGTCTAGTTCATCAATCCTGGACATCAAAATATTCTTTTGATCCTCTACCCTTCCAAAATGCTCCCGATTCCACTCTTTAATCCTTGCTCTTAGTCTCTTCAACTTTTTGTGGAACCTTACACCTTTCCACTTAACCCCTCTCAAGTCTTCATTCCACCACTCACCAACCTTTCATTCAAAATCCGAATGAGTTAGCCACATGTTCTCAAACCTAAAGGATCGAGGGCCAAAGCCTAGAACACCTTGACCTAATAGTATAGGGCAGTGATCAAATGTAACTCTAGGAAGGGTTTTAGCCACCAAATTCCTCCAATGATCCTCCCACTCTACATTAAAAAGGAATCTATCAAGTTTGGAACAAAGGGGGTTTTCTTGGAAATTTGACCAAGTAAAGTTAGCTTGTAGAAAGGGTAATTCCTTTAGCCCACACATGTTAATTAATTCATTGAAATTTCTCATACTTGTAGTAATCAATCTTTGGGGGTTATTTGATGCATTACAAAACCTTTACATTAAAGTCCCCCCAAACACCATGGGCCACCCCACAAGCCTTGAATTCCAACAACTCCTCCCACATTTCCTTCCTTTCCCTATAACTATTTGGCCCATAGACATTAGTTAACACCCAAATGAATCCATCTTCCACATTTTTTAATTTTAAAGACACAGAGAATCTCCCTATAAGTTCTTCCATAGATTCTACAACATCCTCTCTCCACAAGGTCACTATACCTCCCGAAGCTCCCCATGAGGGAGCTAAAGTCCAGCACACTCCTCTTGATTTCCACACACTCCTGACCCATCTTCTGTCCAAACCTGCCAATTTAGTTTCCTGTACCATGACTATATCAGGCTTCTCTCTCCTCAGTAGGTCTTTGATTACCCTTCTCCTTCTTGCACTCCCTAACCCTCTCACATTCCAACTAATGATTTTCATAATAAGACTCCTTTCAAACGCCCCTTACGTACCCAGCTCCAACTCATAAAAAACCCTTCCTTCTCTCTCCCCTTCCACTAAACTTGATATCAACTTCTATATCTGATAACAGTCTCTCCACTTCTGATCTCTTTTTCTTCTTCCTTCTCACATTCCCCTCTTAACTTTTTAGCCGACCCATTGCCTTTACTCACTCCCCCCCCAGCCTAGAACTTTTGTTTCTCTCCTTATTCTGAGGATTTGCATCAGGATCCCTACCCTCTAACCCCTCCTCCTTTGCTTTATACTCCTCCAATTACGCACTAATTTGCTCCCATATTTTTTCTAACTCTTCCTCCCGCTTCTTCTTAACCTCCAACTCTCCCTCTCTCCTCTCACCTTCACCAATGCTAAGCTCTCTGTTTTCATCCACACCTAAAGATTCCTCTCGGGATGCTGGCGTATCTGTTTCAACCACAGGAAGAGCATCAGTAACAAAAACCGAATTGACAACAGTACCTTCATTGTTAGGAGCCAAATGAAACTCTTTCAGGGGATCAGAACGGGCATCGGGAGGCAAGTCTAAATCTGTCTCCCGAGGTCTAATCTGCTTAGAAGAATTTTCATAGGAGATCAACAACTTGTCAACTTCCGCATCTGAGTTAGTCTTCCACTGCTGTCTAGCTATAGGCATACATCACAGAGCAGTCCAGTAGAGTCCTTCCTTTCCAAACCCATAACCTGTAAGGAGTTAATTTCGCTTGCCAGTGTAGACAAAATCTGAGTCCTAACCGTAACTATCTTCTGCCGTTCCATCGAACTCTTCAAGCCTCCCTCAAAACTTTGATAATCACCTCCCTCCTCCTCCAGGAACAATACTTCCGTTCCAAGGTTATCTTCTTCAGAAATATCCTTTGATCTGCTAAGATCGATTCTGCCCAGACTTTCAGAATCATCCGATTCAGAACCGCTAAAAACTTCAAACGGAGAGAGCTCCCTCTTTCTTTCCTCTAACTCCCTTCGTTTAATACAACTTGGATTGCGTTTTTCAGGCGATGACTGCTCTAATCTTACTGCTGGAACCCACTGTTCCGAAGCTCCATAGAGCGCCGAGTTCAGGCTCCCTGTTGCACGGTTCATTGCACTTGAAGAAGAAGAAGATAGATGGTAATAACCATCTATCGAAGGCACATGGTTGGTCACGTGCCTTTTAAGTTAAGATGGGCCCCTGAACTGAGCTTCCTGTATCCACCTTACCCGCCTTAGGTGGGCTTGATTTTTGCGGCCCAACTAAAGCCTCCGCCCCTGAATTTTTAGGGCCTTCTTTAAAGCGCCCGAAGCCCACTGGGCCTTTACTAATGCTTATTTCCTTCAGCATGGGTTTTGGCTTATCACTTGGCCCATTCTTAATTATCTGCGGCTTCACGTGACTTTTAAGAGGGTCACGCACGTTCAACCCAAGGCTCGGTTTGGTTTTATCAAGCCTAGGTTCGGTTCTTCCCTGAACCAACACCTTCTCCATGTTTGAAAAAGACATTTGCGCCAGTTACAACCTGTGCAAAGGACCTGCCGCCCTCCAGACCCTTTGCTGCTTCTACACGCATAAGACCCTCCCCCTGAATGCTACCTTTCTGTTTCTCCAACATTTGTTTTTCCATTTTAGTGAAAGTGCTATTCTTGTTTGAACCATCCAATCCTTTGTTGCCACGCAGTTCTTCTTCAACCTCCTCATCTCCCTCCCTACGAGCCTCTTTCCAAAGCACAGATTCAATGGATGAAGCCAGCCACACTGAGTAAAATTGTCCTTCAACTAGCACCTTATCTTCCGAGGAATCTCCTCAGGTTTTACTCCATTCAATAAGATGGAAGCTGAAAAGAGGTCTCCCCAAAAGACACCTCCTAGTGATCCTCCACACATCAGAGAATGGCTTCAGTAGTTTCTTGCTTCCACAAGTGAAAGGGAAGGCCTAAGAGACGCACCAGCACTCCATCTTCAACAAAAAAATCTTTGGAGTTTGATCCCAGACACCATCTTGATAATGTGAGATTCCCAAAAAGGGAAGGCCTAAGAGACACACCAGCACTCCATCTTCAACAAAGAAATCTTTGGAGTTTGATCCCGGACACCATCTTGCAATATGTGATGACTTGGTGCTCCAATAACAAAATTTGGTCATGAAACATTTTACAAAAGATCCCAAGCCCCATGGTAATTAATCTTCAATCCTGAGGCTTTAAGGTATCTACTATTCAAGTGTTGTTTTTGTTCCAATTGAGGTTTTTAAACATTTAGCCTTTCGTTCATGCACTGATGCACATATGTATACATGCATGTGCATATATAAAGAACCCAAAGCCTATAAACTAGGATACCCTTAAAATAGTAAAACATAGTAATAACAAGAGTTTATTAACCAAAGGAAGATGAATGGTAACATGTTTTTAATAGCAATCATATCCCATATAGAACCATTGCTTATTATGTAAAAAACAAGAACTTACCTGAACACTTTGATGACTGACTACAGTGGAAGCCTGAAAATGGGGGATCAAATTTATGGGTTTAGGCAACAGAAAGAACTAACGCTTTTAAATTATGATAAACCAAGCAGCACATGACTGACCGAAGAAGAAAAGGAAGATTGCTGAACTTGTAATTGCTGCTGATTATGTAGCTGTATTTGGAGCTGTGCCTGTGGTATTTGAGAAATTTGTTGGGCAGACAAAATTTGTGATTGTGTCTGTGTCTGGGCTTGAAGTTGCTGAACCAATGGCTTTTTCCGTTGCTGCTGTTGCTCAAATAAGGTCAACTCCTCAGGTTTCTCCCACTACATGTTCATTTTGGCAAGCATTTGTGACATCTTTCAAGGCAGAGACTAAAAAGGATAACAGAGGGAACTGAGGAGACACTTACCCGACTTTCACTAGTTACACTGTTATAATAATACTTAAATCCCTCAGGCGATGTGTGCTCAGTCCAATTACAAGTTAAAGGACCTGCTGTCTGTGTACTTGCATGAACAGCTGAAGCAGCAGATGCAGTTGAAAGTGCCACTGCAGCTTGGGAAGTTGCAGGAATGCTGCTTGCTGTCTGTGGTACAGTTCCAGTCCATTGAGGCTGCAAAAAAGAGGTATTATCATTCACAAAATCATTTAGAACCACTTACAAGAAACAGACTTATGAGAAGAAGCAACATGCCAATTGCCAAGAGAAAGTTTAGGACAAAAGGTATAAAACAACAACCTGCAATTCATATCAAACAGTAGACCATAGATTATTAGATACTGGCAAACATAGGCACCTATAGTTGATCCTTTAGGTTCCACCAGTCTCAATTTTCTTTCACTATCAAGACAATGAATAAAACCAGATAACTGGCATTTGTGAACTTGTGTTAACTCAATTTTTTTATCAGCAAAATGAGTCATTTATTAATGCTTGAAAAAAGATTACAGATCCTTGCCCAAATACAGCGGAAACCAGATTGGCCACCCTGATTACCATGCCCCCTTTTAACTTGTGTTAACTCAATTGGTTATCACTTGGCATCAGAATAAGGGGCCTCTATTATTGGGTGCAGCCCAATGGGCTCTAAGGCTCAGGAAGCTTATGTGTATGGGCTTAATTTACATAGGCCCAAAGGACAATGCATTAGCTACCTAATTGACCCTGTTAACATATGGGCTATGTTAGTTACTGATCAAAAAAAAATATGGGCTATGTTAGCTATCAATGGCCAAGTTTGTGGCACGTTCAAGCCTGGAATGGTAAACCCAGCCCCTGTTTAAAGTGTTTTGGACCATAAACTTTCCAAGGCAGACCCAGGCCTAGCTATCAATGGCCAAGTTTGGGTACAACACAATGCAACTCAAACCCATCATGATTAAACCTTATATAAGATATCACCAGAGAAGACCATTGAATGGTAGGTCCAACTCCAATTGTTTGCCAAATATATCATTAAAGCATCACCACACCATCCTTGCTACTGAAAAGGCATCCGGTATTGCCAGTAGTATTGACATGTAAACATAGACGGATCATCCAAAACCTGCAATACCTGTTGTTTACTAGCCTGGGAACTCTGCTGTTGGGTCAGATTTTGACTTGATGGCTGCATCAGATTCAAGTGTTGTTGCAACTGGGAAAACGATTGTCGTGATGATTGAGAGCTTGCCTGTGGAACTTGCATCTGTTGAGATAACATCTGAGAAAATTGAGCAGATGACTGTTGTAAAGGCTGAAGCAGGGGTTGCTGGATGGAAGGAGCAGACAACTGCTGTTGGCCTGCCATGATAGAGACAGCTTGCTTTTGTGAGTTCTGAGGGGTTTGTTGTACTACAGTAGAGCAGCTCTGCTGGACCTGAGGCTGAGAAATAGAGCAGCTCTGCTGGACCTGAGGCTGAGAAATAGAGCAGCTCTGCTGGACCTGAGGCTGAGAAATTGGCAGCTGACCACTCAATCCAAATGGTTGTTGCGATGGCAGAACTTGACTAAAGGATGGACCAGAGGACTGAGTAATCTGCAGCTGACCAGGTTGCTGCACTGATGTCTGAGAAGTTTGTGGCTGTGAGTAAGACAGTAGAGCTTGTTGAGGGTGCAGCAGGAGGGAAGGTGGCAAATGCTGGGGGGACTGAAGCGGCTTCTGTAGTGGAGATATTTTCTGACTAACTGATTGATCTAGTCGTATAGATGGGTTGGAAATCTATTACAAAGGACCACAGAAGTACTTCAGATTTAAATTAATGAAAGAATCAAAGAATTGAGTAGGATCATAAAAACAAATACAATTCAATTCATTACCTGTTGTGAGGTGGAAGAAGGTAAAACTGAAAGCCCTGGAAGAGAACCATTTGTAGGAAGTCCTAGGGGACCGCCCTAAAGAAACAGGAGCAATAAGACACACTAACAGTAAAAATGTTCTCAAAATATGAGGACAAATATTTCAAAACCAGATATTCTAGCTGCTAGCTCTTTCTGGTGTTGCCAAAATTCAAAAGACACAAGCAATACCTGGTTTTCTAGCAATCACCCATAACATGTAAAAAACAAAGGAAAAAAAAACAACAACCAGAAAACCATATTAGCCATACAAGACATAACTTACTTGTGTTGATTTCTATAAACAGCACCATGCCAAAACACCCTGGGGCAAGGCCCTCTATGGGATCTAGGGAGCAAACAGATAGGTTAAATAGGATGGACCTACTAGCCCAACCCAATTTTAGGCTTGACTCAATTTGGTTTTCCATGCAAATAGGTTGGAGTAGCATTGGAAAAGATAAACCAGAACGGAAGTCTGGCTGTACTAGGGCAACACAAACCAACATGGTGTACTGCCTCTATTGATGGGACAAGTTTCAGCTTTAACCACTTTGTATTGGAATTTTGCATTGCACATGTAACTTAAAGAAAACTCAAGTACAAGGTTGGACATGGTTTATGTAGATTGGGGAGTGAAAATGTGGCTGATCCAGAGGATCTCCTATCCCATGGATAGTTTGATCACTCAGAGCTTCCTCCATGTGGAAGAAATAGGTGGACTTGTCTACAGAGCCTACCTACTTGACCCAATTAATAACTTTCCCCCCACACACATGAATATACAAGTTATATTGGCACCGTAAGGTGGTGGAGATACGGTCTATGCCCTGAAAGCAAGGATTAAAGTATCGGTGTCGGGTATCATATCGGACAACCTAGATACAGATACAAATACGGATACGCTTTGGAAACGCATGGGTACAGACAAAAAATATAGAAACTCTTGGATACGATAGGAAAACATATAAAAATTTCATAAATATACTAATAATATTAAATTTAAGGTGAAATAACAACAAATAATGTATAAATACATATAAAATGTATATTTTAATGATGTATATGAAAGAATATATTACAATTAATGTAATAGGACGCATAGATACCAAACAATTTTATTGATAATGTATCAATCAAGAATCCAAACTGCAAAACATATGCTCCTATTATATTTTAATTATTATATCAGTTATTTTCTATTTTACTATTTTTACATTTTTACATTAACAAAGAAGTCAATTGAGTATTAAATTATCAAATATAAATTAAAATATCAATTAATAATTTATGAAATATATAATCTCAACCTAAATTATATCAAATATATTAAAATTTCTAAGATACATATCATATGCAAATTCACAATTTTTAACTACTAAAATCATTATTTTATTATTAATATTTTTATTTCTATAAATTTCTAAAATTAAAAATCTTTTGTATATAAATGTAGATTAGTAGATTTGATAGATTCAATTTAATATTATATTCTTGAATAATTTGTAAACAATTTTTATTTTTGTAAATAATAAATATGTTGTAATTTAATGTAAATTAAAATATTAATTAATAATTTAAAAATTATATAAAATTTTCAAAATACATATTCTGTGCAAATTTATAAACTTTAAGTACTAAAATAATTGTTCTATTATTAATACTTTTATTTCTATAATTTTTCTAAATTTAAAAATATTTTTTGATACGGATGTATATTAGTAGACTAAGTCATGTGCAAATTTATAAAGACTAATTGATAACAGATGAAATGGCTTAACGAACAACTTATTGCTTTGTTTTTTTAGTGAATAAGTTGTTAAGGATGTTGTGAGCTACTGGGCTCTTTAATGGCTTAAGTTGAAATTGGGTGGATTACTATACTCTCAAATATTTTACTATTTAATTATTTTAACGACCATAAGTAATAAGCCATTCAGTTCAGCCACTCCAGCTGCTAACAAGCAGCCTCTAAAGCTGATATGAGTACATTTTTTATTTATTTTGAATTAAAAAAAAAACAAAAATTTCCTTTTCAACTGGCATCATCCTTTTGTGTCAAAACCATCTGATTGCTCTCATAGTTGGACGCAGACATGATCTCTATTACCTTTCATCCTAAATTCCAACCCAAAACTCCATCTAAAACCCTATTTCCAGAATTTTGATACTTTATTTACTTGCTCAAAATGCCATAAAATTAAGCCACCCTATATCCATCATCGTAAACATCTCTACAAATTTTTGTTGAATTTTATATCACTAGATTTTTTTGAGAACATATAAAGTTTTATATCATTAAAAAAAAGAAGGAAAACAAAAAACATGTACAACAAGATGCTGTACACAGGGTTACAAAAAACACTGCACATGCAGACCAATACCCCCCAGCCCTGCTATAGAAAAAGAGATTCTCATGTACAAATAAAGTGTTGTAATTCCTATCCTTGAACAATTTGTTTATTATCACTAGATATTTACCAAGGAGAATCTGGCAAATAGCACAGAACCTTCCCAACTCCAACAAATCCCTACTTCTAGTCCTAAAATCAACCTTAATTCCTTCCTAGCCTATCATTACCTTCCCAGACTCACCATTGGATCATTCCAGTCCTACATTACTTAGTACCAGAGTTGTCAGTCCTACACCTATTGGTAACAAAGCAATTAGCCCTACATCAGTTGATACTGAAGCAGGTTATCCTGCACCATCTTGATTTTTAAGAACTTATATTTTAAAGTTGATTGAAGAAAGATACTGTTATCAGGAAAAAACTTGCAATTTGCTGATAACATTTTTATCAACTTCACTAAATCCTGATTTGAATATATGCAATGTCCTATAGCTTTATTAGTTGAAGGATCAAACATACATAAAATCTTACCTAAGTTTATAAAAGCAACTCATTACATCAAACTCTGTATGTAATGCCAAACTAAGGGCTCTCCTGTGTTGCCTAGCCCTGCAGCTGGGGAATTTCTTATAGATAGACCAGACAATTGCATTTGATAACAGTCACCATCTATAAACACAATATCAGAAAAAAACATTGCAAATTTAATGTTCCCACATATATGATCTCCTAGGTCAAAATTCAGCCCAATGAAATGACCCTTATCACCCTGTCCAAGGCTCATTTTTTGTCCCAATCACTTTGCAGCTTTGTTATAATAAAACAGAAGGAGGATGTCTATAGATTGGACAGAAAAAATAATGCAATGGCCTGATTTTCTGCTCAGCAATTATTTTGGCATGGACAGTAAGATAACTCTAGATTGGACAGAACAAATAATACAATATGACCTGATGTTGTGTTCAGGATTACAATTACTGCTAGCATCACAAGTCTTCCTAAAGAAAGGCTGCAACTGAACAATGTTCATCAGAAAGATCAAATGATTACTTACAGTCACTGGAGGCATTGTTAGAGCACCACCCCTAGAAACCAAATTACTCCCAAAACTATGAGGACTGTAATGTGAAGCTGGTCCCAAGTTTTGAGGACTCATTGGATGCCAAGCATTAGGAAAAACATGCCCACCCATCGGTTCACCAAAATTGGGTTCTGGCCTGCAAGAGTTAAATATCAGAACAAAGGCAGAGTATACAAAGAAACTCAAATGACGCCTTATATTTCATTTCAATTTATGCACAGACCTAGATTCTAATGGTGCTTGAGATCGGGAGCCAAATCCAGGACTACCCCTGAGAAAGTTTTAAAAAAAAAAAAAGAAGAAACTTCATAGTAAAATCACAAGGACTGTAAGAGCATGTGGGTACTGATTACCAATCTCCCACTTTAGTAACACTAACAAATCATGTGGGGTTATATATATATATAGAACAACTAAAATCACAACCAATTTGCTCATCATCTGATTACAGTAAAAATCTAAATTGAACTGAGTATTTGGAAGGAGACTGATATTTAGTAGTCCTTTTTTTTGATAAATATATTTAGTAGTCCTTCTCAACTCATGCATATGGAAGATGTGATTCTTGTGCATTACACATAATCATGACTTATCAGATCCAATCTAGAGAACTATATATACAGAAGAAGGAAGAAAGAAAATCAATAGAAACCTTGATTCACCGGAACGAGGCCTCTTAGGATCAGCAAACCGAACAGTTAATGGCTGATCACAACCCTATGTAGAAGAAAACAGAAGAAAGTAAATGGATATCCATCAAAATGGAATAGAACAATGACAAAAGATGAAGTCATAAATAGAAGGAGAAGGGAAAAAGAATAAGAAATCTTACTCTCATCACATAGATTCCATTAAGAGCATTTATAGCTGCTTCTGCCATATCTCTATGAGAGAATCTAACAAACCCACATCCTTCAGAAGTACAAACATATCAGAAATAAGAAAATATATAAATCACAACATATGAGTATAAAGAATAAAGTCTGAATATTAATTCACAAGCAATTTGATATGCACCTACAAGAAAATGTTCCAATGCTAAGTTCAAACAATATAACAACAGAAACAATATAGCTTAAAGAATTCTTCTCCCAGATAAACATCATATCAAAATAAAATTCAATGGTTATAATCATCTGAGTAAACATTTGATCTATGATAACATAGAAATGTAGCCAATTAGTAGGATCCTCATTGACACATGTTTCAAGGACTAGATAGAAAAGATGGCAATCTGGCATCAGAATAAGTGTAACAGGACACACCACGACTTTGCTTTAATTCATCACGCATGATGTAGACATCTTCAACGCGACCATAAGGAGAAAAGATCTGGTATAGAAAACATCAATCATAAATATGAAAAGGAACTCAACAAAAATAGTTACACAACATGAACAGTAAAGAACCTTAGAAGCCCAAGGCTTTTGTTGCAAAATTTGCTGTATCCCCAACAGCAGAGAATTGAAAATGGGGTGCAATCCTCTCAGTTTATAAATTATAACTAATCATACAAGTTTTATCCAAACTTAGCAAAATAAATAACTAGATAGCCAATGTTTGGTTTGGCCCAAAGCAAATTGTTACATAAAGCCAGCAAGTTGGTTTTTTTGGTTAGAAAAGTTTGCCCAAGAAAGAAAGAACTGTATTTCTCAAGGGATAGAGTGCAAAAAGCAATGAAAATAAAAGAAAAAAAAGGAAGAAACAGGCCATTTTTCTAAATGGAAAAGATGGAGTAAATTTGAATGCAAATATATGTGACATGTTACGTACTTCCTCAACTTCCTTTTCTGTAGCTTGCCTGTTCAAGCAACCAACAAACAGCTTAAACTCAACTGCATTTACCAATAAGCCATCATCAAAAGAGATGTAAAGTTGACAGGTTGGTTTGGTATTCAACAATTAAAATATCAAAAAGCATCTATAAAAATAGCATAAGAAAAAGTGTTCAGTCAAAGAATTTATTATGATTTTCCTTGTCAAACTATCAACTCTATTATTTCATTAACATGCAAAACTTTGTTCAATTTTTACAGTGTAGTGATGCTAATTTTTTGAAAATAAATATACCTTCACGTGTAGACTCTTTCCATACAAAGTAAGATCTATTTTACCCACATCCAGGTCATCTCTGCTTTGAAAGAAGATGATGGCATCGTCTTCAAATTCTAGGTCAGAGATCACTCTCTGTAGCCTAGAAGAATCCCCTTGATGGCCCGTTAACCAAAGCTGAAAAATGAGCCCAGGAAATACATCCTCCAACTTATCTAACATTCATTAAACCCCCTCTTTTAAAGAACAGACCCCACAGAACCCCAATCCTTGCGATCATAGGCATTATCTGAAATCCAACTTGAAGACTAAACCCCTTATCTTTGCTTTGCTCACAATATCTACCACTTCATAGATCACTGGAATCTCATCAAAATCTTTCACAAAGGCACCATGAGGCTGGGAAATCAAAATAAGGAAAAAACAAAAAAAAAAAAAAATTCTCGATCATATAACGAGAACTTGTATTTTATTTTACTTTCATGTGGTTTCTATTCAGTCCCTCATGAAGACCTACTTGTAATTGTAAATAACTCATATCAATAATGCATGTGATTCCTTTATGGTGGGGGACCATACATTGAAGACACCACTTACGCTATTGATTTCTCTTGACCTTTTTCAATTTCTCAACAGAAATTTTCAACCTAGGACAGATCCAACTGCTTGGGTTGCCAATGTATATGCTGCTAATATTCAACAAATCTTCAACCTAGAATCTGTTGATTATCTACCTCACAAACAAATCAAGATGGCTATATGTACATGAATAGACCAAAATTGGCCAAAACTATTGACAATCAAATCAAATAAAACACCATACAGTATCAAAACCCAACAACTTTTAAGACCATATGTGCCTAAGTAATTGAGATGCAACGCACAACCATGCAGTGGAAACTAGAAAGTACACTGCATAAGAAAGGCACTTGATGATGTGCTTCCTCTGCAAAAACAATGGTGAAACCATTTCCCATATTTTTTTAACCTGTCCTTTTGTACTTTGTGTATAGGAGCATCTTTGTTCTCTTTTTAGGTGCAGGTGGACTCCTCCACAGGATGTGGTGGGTCTCTTTGATCCAAATTTCCTGAAACAGCCAAAGAAAAGGGGAAGAATTATGTGGAAAGCAGTGAGAGAAACCATGTTATGGACTGTTTGGGAAGAAAGGAATGGGAGGATTTTCAGTGAGAAGAGTAGAACAGAGGTGGAAATCATTGACACAATTAAAATTAAAGTTGTACATTGGGTGAAGACCCTGGAGGATTTCCAAATTTTCTCAATAAACAACATTTTGAGAACCTGGAAGGAAGTGGCACTATTGGCTCAAGTCAAGAGTAACTGTGGACTGGACACTCCCAGCAACCAACTTTGTTAAACTCAACTTTGACAGAAGTTATATTGGCAATCAAGATGCAGCCGGATTGGGTGGAGTATTCCAAGACACAGAAGGAAAGGTGTTAGCTTTGTTTTCAGGAACCTTGGCATATGGTAATGCATTGACAGCTGAGCTGCATGGACTACTCCATGGTTTGAATTTTGCTAAGAAATTTGGTTTCCACAACTTGGAGGTAGAAGGGGACTCTCAGGTGGTCATTTCTTGGACAAAATGCAACTCTCAAATCCCGTGGATTTATAGACATACTTTTTAGAAAATAGAAAGCATAACAAGGGAGCTGAATGTTGTCTTTAAATGGGAAAAAAGAACAGAAAATGGGATGACAGATGATCTGGCTAAACAAGGGTCAGCTGGGCACCAAATGTTTTGGGCAACATTATAAATTATATATCAGTCTTTGGGATGGAGAAAACTCCCATCTTATTGTAATACTTCAACTTGATTTTAATAAAATCTCCTTTTATTGATAAAAAAAAGGACCTCGTCAAATAGAAAAAATACATAAGAGGTTCAAAAAGAATAAAATTTTGAAGGTCCTACGAAATTACCAAGTCGCTCCCGTTCACCATCAGCATATCTGACTTGGATAGGACCTACTCCCTGGAAATGTAAAACATGAATAGATCAAACAATAGAATTCCAGTTTGGAAACTACTATGGCACATGGTAGCAATATAACTCACCCCAGGCAAAGTATATTGATTATGCAAAGCTCTAATGGCCCTGTCAGCTTCTTCAGAGGTTGCGTATTTTATGAAACAACATCCTGTAGAAGTGAATGTTCATGACTTGATTCCATTAGGATATTCCATGTACCAACTATATCATTTTTTTTATAAATATGTACCAACTGTATCATTGCAGAATAAATATTGCAGTTGATGGACGTTTACTGATATAAACAAAAATTGTATGATTAAATTACCAAGGAAAAAGATTGAACAATCTAGGATATTTAGGTGGCATTTGGTGGTGTTTCAATGAAACCGTTTTTGTTATTCACGTATTCCCAGAAACATAAAATAGCTGTTTTCCTGTTCCCAAGGACCAGAAATATTTGGTTGGATCATTACCACACACCCACTTGAATTATTCACAGCTTACATTTTAAGTCACAAAACAGATCAAGTGAATTATTAGAACAATTCTCTGATTATGCTAACCAACCACTATAATCCAAGCTTAACATTAAATGCAGATCATAAAAAGCTGATCGGATGGGTTAGGGATGCACAAGCAAATGGAGCACAATCCAACCTATAGCGCACACCAAGAAACATAAATTAAACGTTGAGAACCATTCATGAGGTGAGAGAGATAATAAAGAATGTCAATCTCTCCTTTTTTCTGTTTGTACCAGTAACAAAAGGATTGTGTAATCACAATAATATGGTTTGGCATGTGTGGCTCCAATTCCTGGATATCTCTGTATATGGGTGCCGAATCATGTCAGACTTTGAAGTTTTTAGTGTTAAGTTTCCAATACCTTGTCCTTGTCATATCTGGGTAACATATACATATAATATGCACCAAGACATCCTTGACCAATAGGAATTAAGAAGATTCACAAATTACAGTTATCCTACAAACAAAGGAGCATCACTTAAATCATAGTGAGTCAAGAGCCACTTGGAAACAAAGAGGCATTTCCTAGGGGGCAATCTACTCCCGGCCTGGCAAGGCAAATCAACACCTAGGTGACAAGTAGGCATCATCTAGTTGACAAAAATAAAATAATAAATACATACAAATATTACAATGTGTATGTATAATTATATTGGTAAAAGTGCCAAAGGTTAGGCCTGAATAGAACAGAATGGTGATACAGGATTCATGTAGCCAATCCCATATAGTTGAGACAAGGCTTAGATGCTTACATAATTGCATGTTAATTATAAACAAATAATCTACAAATTAAAATCAGTAAATGATTTAATAACCACTTACACCTGATTTTCAGAAATATGATGAGATTCCAAATAATCTCCCTAGTTCAAAGTAAACACATACACAAGGATTAAGAGGCCTAAGTATCACCTCTATGTAAAAGCAAATTAACCCAAAGTGGGTGGGACAAAGTGGTATCAATATATAAAAAGGGGAATAAAACTTTAGTGCTGTCACTGTGATGTTTATATCTATTCTACCTGCCTATTTGGTCTTGTAGGAAATAAACCTCCAAAATGCCTAGGCAATTGCAATACCTTTGGGTGTTGTCCCAAACAGCCACCAACATACTAATAGACTTCTTAATGAGGTTATGAGATATCAAGATTATTATACATAAATAAGATCATATCTGATGCAACAGATTTTTTTCCCAACAGTTGATTTCACGGAGTTATCTATTTTCTGATAACAGATAAGGAGAATTTTATCAAAGGTGAGAACTGAGAAGAGGGGTTGCTTCTCAACTAAATGCATTAAAATTGTAACAAAATACAAAGGATGTCATCATCATAACAGCTAAGGTTGAGCTGAAAATAAAGTCACAAGTTCCATAAAAAAAATTACAGCCCCTATAATATTCATAATAACAGATAGAGTTGAAGCTTTAGTTCTTGGCTGGCCAAGTAATGGACAACATCCACAAGAATTTTTCCTAAGTTCAAGGAATAAGAAATCCATACCTTTGGTTAGTTTAGAATATTAAAAAGGACAACATCCACAAGAAAATTCCATATTCTATATACAACAAAAAATAAATAAATCCGGTATCTAATATTACCACTATCAAATTAGACCTATAAGCTTGAAACCTGTAGAGAACACTGATGTGGACCCCACTGGTGTGGTCCCCACTGTGTTCATATGACAGTAGTAGGCAGTTAGATATGTTAGTTTTCAGTTGTTAGTAGTTGGTAGTTTATTTCAGCTTTATGTTATTAGTTTTTATCTTATTATTTTGCCATGTTAGCAATTAGGGTAATTCAGCCCTTTTACAGTTATGAGAATATGAATATAAATTACAAGAGTGGGGCGGTTATTAGCTAGAACTCTCTCTCTCTCTCTCTTTTCTCTGAAATCTTTCTTCGTGTTCTCTCTCTCCTATTCTCTTCTCCTCTTCTCCTCTTCTTCTCAATCTTTATTTATTTTCTGATTAAAACCTAAGACAGGTTGTAGTCTTGTTCGACTACTAAACCGATACAGTTCATCCACCTAGGAAAAGTAATAAGATTAGAAATGGATCCATCAAATTGTTGTGTATAACTATCAAATTGAGCTAGAGTAGATAGACAAAAATTTAATGTTCAAGCTGCTAAAGAAAGGAACCAACAGAGTAAAAATATTACTGATCCATGTAGATCAATCAGCAAAGATGAACCATAGCACTGGTTCTACACTAGTGTGAACTAGGAAGAAACAGAAAAGATATATGAAGATCACTCCTAAACTCACCAGTACGATTTTGCACTAGTGTGAACTGTGAAGACTAAAGATCACACTGCTAATGACCTGATCTCCAATAAAAGAAAACCTCCAACTTTCACCTTGCTAGACAGCACCAACATTTAGTGGCTTCCTTTCCACAACAAAATGACCAACGGACAAAGGACTATTTAGCATTATAAGCTGAACAACCATACTCAATGGATATCCATAAATTTGCAACGATAACAACTATGAACAAGTACAATTAAAAAATGGTAAAATAGGCATTATCATCTCAGAACAAATTAAAGTAAATGCCCGAGCATCATGCACATAAGTTTCTAGAGCTCCTAACTCAACAAAGCTTTATCCCAGATATATGAAGCCAGCTACAAGAATCATGTTCCCCCATTCAGCTGTGTTCAGTGCCTTCAGAATCCATGTTAACAAGGGTTTTGCAGTAGCTTACCTTACCTTTTCAAAAAAAACAAAAAAAAAGGTTTCGCAGTAGTTTTAAATCTGCTGCTAACCTGACACAATCCTCATCCTTTTTCCAGCTCACTGGTGGAGTTATGGAGCTCCTCTAAGACAAATTGCCAGTTAAAAGTTATAAAGCATGTTGAATGCTTGAAACTTCAAAATAGTAAATCCATAATAATTAAATATCATCCATGACGGTTCCAATACAAGCAGATCTCAAACATCAACAAATAACTCCCAAAAACCTGACTCACATTTCTTGACTTCTAGTTTACCATGGTTATCCATATTCATGAAGCACAGTTTCTACACCCCCATGCTATGCATGAACTTTAATCCAGTGAGTCATCTGAACGAAGTTAAAGACCAAAAGAATCATAACCCAATCAGTCATTATAAAAGACCACAATCCCAGCCTGTCTTGATATCCAAATTGATAACCATAATTATTACTTTTCTTTCAGCATTCAATTTCCTACCTTCACATTAAGATTGATGCAGTCACCAACCTTTGATACGAATTAAACTGTTTGATCGAATCATCATCATATATATTATATATATATATAATATATATATATGTATGTATATATATATACATATAAAAAAAACTGCAGAACATTTTAAACCCAAATCATAAATTGTAGGCAAATTTAAAAAAAAAAAATAGCATAAAAAGAAAGAAGGTAGAAAGTAAATCCTCACAGAAAAAAATGCAAAGCCTGTAAACAAGTTAACTGATGTAACTTGCAACTGCCCAATGCCCCTCTTATTCTTGGCGAGAGGTAAGAGACCAACAGCCAAAAACCAATAAATTGACGAAGCACCTTTCTTTTGCATAATAGCAATATAACTTTATTAACTTGAAATTTGTCACATCGCTTTTGCGTATTAATGTTGCAAGAATACCTATTTAGTAGTGACCAAAGATCCTTCAACTTTGACTTAAAGCAGAAAACCCTGTTCATTTCGATGGTTGTTTCATAAATTTGCAGCTTATCATAATTAAAAAGAAAAAGAAAAAGAAAAAGATGTCCTTCTCAACCATCAAACAGAAACGACATAGAGTCCGCCAAAAGCACAACAACAAGCAACTAATTTACCAATTTCTAGCCACAAAGAAAAAATTCATCAGGAACCATTAACAAAATATCAAAATTCATGCACAACATATATTCCACGACATTATAGGTTAATCACATCATTTGCAGAAACCTCTTGCATCTCATGCTCACAAGCATTGGGATCTCAAATGAAACAACCCAAATAACACAAACTCCTGTTTCCAAACACATCATGGAGAAGAAGGTTAAAAGCGCTGATGGTTATGTATTCAACCACTGCTTACATGCATAAAAGATGAATTGCAAGTGTCGTTACACTGCTCAACTAGTGAAACAAACCCATAATGCATCATTTTCAAGAAGACAATGAAAGAAGATAGCAACTCCAGTTACCAAAAAATTCAAAGAAATCTTCTGCATCCCAATTTGCAAGCATCAGTATCTCAAATGAAACAACCCAAATAATAAGAACTCATATTCCAATGCATCCAGAGAAGAAGGATACAAGTGCTGACGTTTAATATATTCAACCAATGCTTACATTGTATAAACCATGAATAGCGAGGGCACTGTAACACTGATCAACTTCTCTACCAATGAAACGACCCATAATGCATCATTTTTTAAAACAGTGGAAAAAAATACCACTCTCCGCTTACCATAAAGTAGCATGCCCATATTCCAAACATAGACATGACAGTTAACATAATACATATAGTTAAATGATCTGCATCCAATCCATGTGGTACCAGTAGATCGCAGTCCCTTGCATCCACATCCAATACCAGCAAAGGGGGAAGGGGAAGAAAAATAAAAAGGAGGAAAAAGGCCTCAATATAATAAACAACAGCAAAATCCATGGGGAAACCAAACCAAAATACTTTGCATGACTGTTCCCTGAGCATCTGAGACCACAAATGGTTACCAGAATATCCCAACATAAAATCAGAAATAAACCAACACCAAAATCCTCTGAGGAAGCTGCAGTGCCATTTTTTCAATAGGATTGGCACTCAAAGAAAAGTAAGGTATGACCAATTTATGCACGAGGGATTCAAGAATTCAGTTGTAGTATCATTAATCTGTCTCACCTGATTATCAATTAAGTTTGGATGTTCAACCACAAATTAGAAAGACAGGCCAACGCATCACAATCTTTTGCTGCTTTAGATGGGAAATGGATTTGGCCACAACAATCATAAGTGTTTATCTATCACATAGTTAGAACTTCCTAAGTTCCAACCACAGATTAGGATAGCAAACTAAACCCTAACTTATTACAATCTCATCCCATGGTGAATAACAAATGCGAATACTCAAAACTCAAGCTATATATACAAGCCACTGCTCCTCCCCTTGCTCAATTCAAAAAGATCTAGATCAGCGCTATAAGACAACAACATCCTTGATTGAATATCCTAGCAACAAAAACACAAGCTTCAAATTATGTGCACAGTTTACATTTATTTTATAAATAATTATGTTTTATGGATTTAGCAGGGGAAACAATATCAATGGATATGGTTGCAATTTAAGAAAAAGAAGCTTTAACAATGCCATAAGAAAGCTTCACTTCCATAATCTCATCAACCATAGAAAAATCTAAAATTATACCATGAAGGATAACGAACCAATGGGAAGATATTTGACAAGATTTAGGGACCAACCACATTTGATAAGACAATCTAAATAGCATGCACCATCCAAAACTCCAATATCATCAAAAATTATGACTCTGTTTCATGGACATAACAGGCACCATCCATAACCATCACATATTATCATTGTGCCATACAGACATTTCAAGCCTTTAAAAGAATAATCTCACCCTATTTTCCAAGATAACAAACAGATGACTCTGTTTCAATGTATTACTTTGTCACTGTACAAGACCTGTACATGGGTAAACATCTTGACAAATAAAATGCTACAACTATGGTAATGGACCTCTTCCACAGTTCCACTACAAAAGACTTGCTGGGGCAATGAAGGTGAAATGTCATCACTGCAGCAAGTGGTACAAGAACAGGACTTATTTGCCTTCCAAGTTTCCAACTGCTATGCATAACCAGTTTTTAGTAGGTTTCCATGGTCTTGCCTTCTTCTGGGTTCACAGGAAGGGCATAAACGGAAGGTTGGCAACCAAAAACAACAACCCCAGAAACTGTTGCAAAAATTAACTGAGACGAACATGAGCTTATTGGCGTTCCCACCAACCCCTCAGGAGACCTGAAAAGAAACAGGTTTAAATTACAATCAATTCATAGAAAATGACATTCCACATACCTTGTTGCTGGCCAGTTCTCCTGTCCTTGATCAGAGCAACCTCAATAACATTTCCATGTTCCTCGAACAAGGGACGAATCTGACATAAAATAAGAATAATTGGAACAGTGGAGAATATTTTATAAGACTACAATAGAATGATGCAAGACAAATAGTGGTGACATGGAGAAGGGAAAAAAAGGAAGTGAAGATGTTCAAAAATAAAATAACATAAAAGTCCTTGGTCTCTAAACATAACAAGGACTAATCTACAATCTTCTCAATAGAATAATATCCGGATAAACATGAACAGATTACAATTTCCATAAACCAACCAATGCTACAGAACAATAAACCCTCTAGGTTTCAATTCAAAGGATCAAAACAATTTTCATATAAAAATGAAAAAGATATTAGAGAACTAAACCATTCCCCTTGGAAACGGTGAAGCCAGCAATGAAACAGGAGGAAAAATGTCAAAACAATGGTTAATAAGGTAAGTATTATGAATAAGAAATTGCTACAAGAAGCAATAGTGCTGGGGGTACAATATGGGGCTGATAATTGTATTGTTTTTTTTTTACGTATATACTCTTCTTTAGTTTTTTTCTTCAGCATCTTTTTGTTCTATATCATTGTAATGTCCCCTTCTGATAACAGACTTTTTATATTAATAAATTCTCTTTGATCAATGTTAATGATATGAAAACAATATGAAAGAGAGAGAGTTCTTATGTGAAAGTGATGTGGAAAGGCATTATATCCCTTCTTTTCTGTGCAGAACCAAATCAACATACTTCTGGCATGCTAAAGAAAGAATCAGAGAATGCCTTACATCTTCCTCTGTGGCTGTCCTTGGAACAGAGCCAACAAAAAGTTTGGCAAAAGTGCCACGATTGATGTTATCTGAGAATTATAACGATATCAATAATTTGATATAGGATAGGAAGAACAGAATAGCAATGATAATGAACACAGCTTCAAGAAAAATATAAACGAATAATATAATCCATGGGCAAAAAGTGAACTGACAAACTGAAATTGAACGTAGATGCATGGATATCTTGTTTCATGTAGACAGTCTGTAGAAATACAAACTAATGGTAGGTAAACATGAAACATGTATGAGGATAATTGTAACACATTAATGCATGCTCATGTCTTTTTGCCCCAGGGCTATACAGTTGTCTCATATAGCATATGAATAGAAACAAATCAATATAAACTCACTTATAAGAACTTAGGCTATCAAAGATGAGCCTATAATCCAAAATAACACCAAGATTCAGTGAATCCCATAACAAGGATTATAAAAAAGGATAAGTAGCAAATCACATAAGTTGTCTTATAGTCCATCTGATGAGAAAACCCATAGACAAAACCATCAGTTACAAAAGATTGTAAAAAAGCAAGTTACAGGGAATGTCTTCTATGTGTTTTTTAAGGAAATCTATAAAACTGAAGCAGTAATGGAACCTAAAACAAATATAACTAAACTAACACAAGCCAACCAACTTAGTGATATCATGGGAAACTAGACTAACATCTAAGTCCAAATTTTCTAAGAATAGCAAAAATAGGTTTGGTAAGATAAAATGAAGGTCTAGCTTCTTTTATGGATGAGCATATTACTGCCCACTTTTTGCCATTCTCATTCCCCGTTGAATATTTTTAGTAAATTAAACAAAATAGCATGCCATTATCCAAAAAATAGCATGACATGAGAATATAAAGTGAGGTGAAGAATGGTAATAGCAAAAAAGTATCATTTATTTATCATTGCCACTAAATTAAAGATTATGTTGCACAGAAACCACAAGGGCAATACATGGAGAAGGTGTCAGACATGGAATTTATATTAAGGATCTTTTTTTGAAAGGTAAAGTAAAGTATTGTATTAAATATCAACAGTATAAGGTTATGTACAAAGAGGTTGTACAAAAAAGAACAAAATTATAGCCCCCCAAAGAAGTTCACCCTCAAAAAAGAACCAGAACAAAAAGCATCCCCAAAAACATCAGGCATAGATAACCAGCTCCTCCACTATAAAACTAATTACCCCAGCCTCATACTTGGCTTTCTGCTCAAAGATCCTATTGTTCCTTTCTAACTAGATCACCTATAGGACTGTAGAGGGAATAACAGACCAAATTTGCTTCCCTTCTTTGGGCATGCCTTGGACTCTCCACCCATGTAACAAGGAGAGTAGGAGACTGAATCCAACCAGCACCAGCTCAGATTAACAGCCTGAGAAAGTGCTGCCACACCACTGTTGTGAAATTACAGTGAATGAAGGGGTAATTTTAAGACTCATAAAACAAATTACATAGAGGACAAAGCACGTATGGCAGGCTGAAATCTTTCCTCATCAGCATCTCTTTGGTGAGGCACTTCTCCTTTGCAACCACCCACAAGAGGAACTTGACTTTCAGGGGAGCTAAAGTTTTCCAAATGGCTTTAAGGGCCAAATTGTTCCACAACAACAGACATGGCACCCATTTATAGGTTTCCACATAATGCAATTGGGAGAACAGGAACCAAGATGGTGGCTTAGATTTCAACCATCATTGATTACTTCCAGTTCTGGAAAGAACCAGTTTGGTTCTTCTTCATGTGTGAGGGTTTCTTTTTTTTTTTAATTTTTGAAGTTCAGCTCATGGCTTCATGAAGTATGATTTCATCCTCATCCGTTAATGGTGACAAATTCTTTGTTAGAATATGTTTATAGCTATGTCAACTATGCTTATAGCTATGTCATCCTCATCCAGCTAATACCCTATTTTGGAAGCTCGCTTAAAATACGTGTTTGATGTTTAATTTTGAGTAATGGAGCAAACAGATGGAGTTAATCTATCTGCAGAAGTAAACATCACATGCGCACATATACAACAATAAACTATCATGGTAGGATCATCCGACATCAAGACATCCCAGAAACGAATAAAAAGCATGAAAACATTAAGACAACAAAAAAAAAAGCGACAGAATTGGAGTTCAAATTAACTAAATAAAAAAAAACTAAATCAGATAAAAATTCTAATTCGTTGCTAAAAAATAAGGCCTTCCAAATTTTCGCTAGCAAGGGCACAATATACCAAGATCATCAATTGGCAAAACAAGTGAACTTCCATTACTGGAACTCCCAGCTAGAAAAACAACCAAACAAAAGAGGATCCTTAGAATCTTATCCTACCTGGAGACCCACCTCGACCGGAGAATGGGAAACCACGTTTCTGCCCTGAGAGAGGAACCGGATGACCAGAGCCGAAATCCCCACTGCCCATTGACCGGAATCCGCCACCTCCAGTCGTGTAATTGGGTGGACTGTTAAAAGGACGGTGTTCATGATGGTGGCGCCCTCCGCCAGAGAACCCACCTTTATAGTTAGGATTACGGTGGTGGTTCATGGGGTTCTCAGACGACCGCGAAAACATTCTCGAATGCCGGTTGTGGTGGGAATCTGGATTACTTCCAGATCGTTCTCCCCTGTGTCTATCCATCTTTAAAGACAGTGTTTTAAAATAAAATAGGAACAATTGCAAACCCTAAAACAACGAGATGAGTGGACTTGAAGGTACAGGAGCGCGAAGATGGAAGGAGAAACAGGTTGATGGAGAATCAGAAGAGAAGTCGTCCGCTTGCAAATTGCGATGGTACAGTACAGAGAAAAGCGGGGTCTCCAAGGTTGGATTGGCGCAGGTTGGGAATTGGGAGTTGGTTTGGATCTGCTACCAACATAACGCTCTCAACAGTGTTGCAACATATTGTTGGGACGTTATTGGGACCGTATATAGAGATAGCTGATCCGATCTCAAGCGGAGATCTCCTCCTACTGTCCTGCCGTAAACTCACTGTTGCAATAGATTCCAACAAAATCTATGTCCACAGTCTGCACACCTAACGATGAAACTGAGACCCACCAGATGTGCGGTCACAGATGACATATTAAAGGGGATTCGGATTCGAGAACTGAAACCCTGGAGCCCTGGAACCCAGATCCAGAAGGCCAAATCAAAAAACAATAGGCTAAAGGGCGTGGGATTCCGGCCTTATATAGGAAAGATGGGAGAGGGCTGTAAACGTCTCTGTCACGAGATCGACTTTTATGAGGATAAATTTGTGCCCACATCGTTCTAACGGCCTTTTGTGACCTTGCATAGGTATTCGGTCCACTCGGATACAGAAAGATGCCTCTAAAAAATATTCCATAGACGTGACGCCTGAATAACTGATGCCACCAAATGTCTAATTACTGAATAGCCCCTGACCAGCAAAAGTGGATGATAGATGAGTGGTGGCGATTGGAGACCAAGAGTATCAAATATGGGATCTCTCAACATCATTTGATACTGCACATCTCGAACACGGCGGGGTCCCAATTTTATAATAAGACTGATTTAATAATTTTATTTATTAATAATTAATAATCAAAATTTATTGTTAATTAACTAAAAAGTATTTTAATATCTAAAATTTTAATAATTGTATTTTTTATTTAATGTTGATTTATAGAAAATCATTATTGTTAATTTAATATGAATAAATATTTTTTTAATAAATTTAGTTTTATTAATAATTTTAATAACTAAAAGTATTCAAAGTTATTGTTAATATCTAAAATTTTAATAATTATATTTTCATTTAATGTTGATTTATAGAAAATCATTATTGTTAATTTAATATGAATAAATTTAGTTTTATTAATAATTTGTAATAATTTTAATAATTGTTGTTATTTTGATTATTTTTAAATGAAATTTTGATTAAATTTAAATAAAAAAAATAATTAAAAAATCTAACATTTTTATTAATTTCACTAATAATTAACAATTATATAGGAATGATAATGGGGTGGGTTCAGGGCTAGACCTGTTCATGGGTCGGGCCGGGCCGGGCTTTCACTCTGTATTAACAGATTTTTCTAAGGCCCGAGCCCGAGCCCGGCCCGACCATCGGTCCTACAACTTGGGCCCAAGCCCGGCCCTCATAAAAAGCCTGAAGCCCGGGCCTAGGCCCAAGCCCGAAATTTAGCCCATACTGTTACTACTACTGAAGCGGTTAAATAGAGAGAGAGAGAGATTATAAAGAAAATAATAAAAAATATATATATTAAATTATAAATATATATATTTTAATAAATATTATATTTTTTATATAATATATAAAATACATATTATATATTTTATAAAATATATAATGCTGAGTCGGGCCAGGCTGGGCTCAGACCGGGCTTTTTCGACAAATCTCGAGCCCGGCCCAAAACACAGTCGGCTTACTATGTTAGGCCAACGGGCCTAATTACATGACCAAGCCCGACCGGGGTGCGTGTCGGGCCATCGGGCTACCCGGCCCATGAACATGTCTATTAAGGGCAAGGCACCCCATCCTTTTCACTACCCCATAGTCAAGAGACTCTACCCCATCACCACCCCATCCCCAGTGTCAAGCGAGTTTAGGGCAAGACAACCACTCCTCAATGTCGGGCGAGTTCAGGGGCAAGGCACCCCACTCCTTATCAATGATGGGGAACCCTTGAATTTCCCCACCCTGTCCCCAATATTAGGCGGGTTCAGGTAGAGTTGTAAATTAGGTCGTGTTGGGCTGACACGACATGACTCACATGCCCCGTGCCGGACCATAGAGCGTCTCGATCTGTACCTCCCTCCCCTAGGATAATTTGAGGATCAGTTTAGCATGGCCCACAACCCGAGCCCGAATGGGCCTGTGCCGTGCCGTGGGCCGGGCTGGTCCATGGCCTTGGGCCAGGCCAGGCCGTAGACCGGGTCAAGCTATGAGAGGTCCATTTAAAAAAAAAATTGAAAAATATGTTTCAATTTTTATTTCATATGATTTTTTATGTATACAATTGTTTATATATACAATTATACCTATTCATGGGATGGGTAGCCTAACGGCCTGGCCCGGCCTAACCTGTTATTTTTCAGACTTGGACAAAATTTCTGGCCCGTGGGCTCGAGCTCAGGTTTTCTCAAATAACCTTGGCCCGATACTATTACATATATAAAAATTTCTAGCCCGATATGTATTATACTATTACATATATAATAAATATAATACATATATTAATAAATATCAATTTACTATTAGAATATATAAATTAGTTTATTAATTTAATAAATTATTACTAAATTAATATAATATTAGTTTATAAAAGTATACTAAAAATAAGACATTTTGTGTACAGATCAGACTTCAGGCTCGAGCTTCGGGCTTTATATAAGGGTTGTGCTCGAGCTCAAGATCTAGGCCCGATGGTTGGGTCGGGCTTGCACATTTTCTATTCATAAAGAGGCACGTGTTAATTATAAAAATTTTATAATTAATTCTAGTATAGTATAAAATATATATATATAACATTTCTATATATATTAATATAATTTTTGTTATTTAAATATTCTATAATAATATTTAACATATATGCATATAACTTCCAAGTTGAGCTTATTAGGGGTTGTTTAGCTTGGGCTTTATCCCTTAAAGCCATCATTGGACTCCAAATGTTTGATACCCAATTAGACTTCGAGTCTAATCATAATAATGTGTGGGCATAGTACATATCTCAGTTTGACCTAACTCAAAAGAAAATAGTTGCTTGAGCCTACAAGTTTATGGGGGGTGTTTTTCCCTAACTCCTAGATTACGTTGATCACCTTATGCTCTCTCTAATCTCTTCTTCAACAATATCAGTGAACCAACTATCGCATCCTGTTGTTGTCTTTCCCATCTGCAACAATATAGACAACACTTGAAACTACTGTGAGTAGCCTTCCAATAAGAAGGTTGCCGCTCTATGTAAAACCCATGTGCTTGGTGACCAGGGAGATAGAGAGTTGGGGTCAAGCCCCACCATTGGATGCTAGAGAATGTTAGAGAAGCACCATAAAGAGAAATAGTGAGAGAATGTGGTGATAGAGCCCGTGTGTCAAAGAAATAAAGAAAAAGATAATGCATACCTACAAAAAAATGTGGCCAATTACCTTTGTTTGTTGTGTCAAATAGCTCATCCATGGCCCCCCAAGATGACGATCTGTGGCCTTTGCGAGACCTTCCTCCATGGTTACCTAGTTTTGTGGTGAGATCATCGCCTTTGGGAATGTAGGTGAAGGCATGGATTCTCTCTCTCTCTCGTGTAGGGTTTATGTTTCGAGACACATTGGAAAACTACAATTTTCTCCTACATTTAATTGGCCAGCTCCACTGCCTTTGGCAAGAGATATGGGAAAACCAAATGTCTCTTGCATTTGATTGGTTAGATTTTGAATATGACGTGGAATTAAAAAACCAAAAGAAAATAGGAAAATATAAAAAAGGAGAAAATAGATAAATACCAGTATACCTTTGGTGCAAGAAGAAGGCTGCTGACATGGACAGACCAATTATATATATATATATATATATATATAGATAGATAGATAGATAGAGAGAGAGAGAGAGAGAGAGAGATATAGATATAGATATAGATATAGATGTGTGGTGTAAGATCATGTTAAGAGGGTGTTGTGACATATTTCGTTGGCACTTGGTACTTGATCTAAAAAGTTACAGGTGCATAAATGGATCATCGAGACCGGATTTCATAGGTACATCACTACATCCCACTTGGGAATATCTCTTCTATTTATACATTATTATTCACGGGGAGATGTTTACAATGCATGGTGAGATGTGCCTGTGAGTTTAGTGTGAGGCGCCCTGTGTGAGGAGCATATTCTAATTCGAATCTAAAGTGGTGTGAGATCATGTTGAGAGCATGTTGGACATATTTTGTTGGCAAGTGATCCCACTATTTATCCTTTACAAGTGCATGAATGGGGTTAGGGCTGAAGTCTAATTAAATGCAAACCCCAAATTCAAACATGGGAAACAAGTTTGAGTTAATGCTTGGATTTTTCAGGCCTGTTTGGAAGGGTTGAAGGCTAGTTTTACCCGTTTGGGATAGGGGTGCAACTTGGGCAGGCCTAGCCTGAGTTTGAACTGGGCCAATCCAAAATTTTATACGAGCTAGGCTTGGATTTTTCATCCTCAGGCTAGGTTCGAGCTCAAGAAGTCAGACTTTTTATTTTTCAAGTTGGGCCCAGGCCTATTCCTTAGGTAGTTCAAACCTGGCTTGAGCCCAGCCCAACTATACACATTCATACATATATATGTATATGTATGTATGTATGTATGTATGTATGTATGTATGTATGTATGTATGTATGTATGTATGTATGTATGTATGTATGTATGTATGTATGTATGTATATAGTCGTGATTTCAAGCAAAGAGAGGGAAAAAAGAGAAATTCGATGTTTCCTATATATTCATGTCATCTTTCATTATTGTTAAATATTAATCTATTGTTAAATATCCATTAGTTATGAAAATGATTAAAAATTTCTGAAAATATTCTACCAAAAATTGTGAAATAATTATTTCAGAAATAATTTGTTATTTAACAAATATAAAATAATTTAATAATCTATAAAAAATTAATAAACAATCCATTATTTAATAATTTTTGGTTCTTCATAAATGTTCAAAATTTCAACATTTAGTGTAACTTGCATTGATCATTGTAATTTAATACATTTTCATTAAATTTTTACAATAATAATTTATAGATAAAAGATATTACTAATTAGTATAATTTACTAGTTTCTATAAAATAATCAATATTTATAGTTAAACAATTATCAAGTAATTTATGGAACTCTTTAACTAATAATCCATAATTATTTTTAAATAAGTAATTAAAAAAATTAATCTATGAAAAAAAATCTCCAAAACTATTTAAATAATAATCCATTTACTATTATTCAACTAAACAATTACTAAAAAAATTAGGAAATTAATCTATTAGAAAATTTTTCATAATTATTTAAATACCAAGCCATTATTACTATTTTAATAAATAA